AAAGTCTTAATTTTTTTTTTTTCACTTTAATTTTGTAAACCTGTATATATAATTTGGGGTTTTGGCAGAAGTTTTTTAAAAATGCCACCCTGTTTTGGTGGAAACTACAGTAATTGGTGCTATCTCTGTCGAGTTGCGACACATGGGCGTAATAGACATTGGCAGTATAGGAGTGGAAGCAGGTAAAATATTAACGCGACTTCTCTACTTGATTTTATCACCGACTATGCCATCGGTAATCGCACCGACTGTATAATTCTAATTCTATAATTCTAAGTACCTCACTACCTACCACTCCGGGGATCCCAGACAATCATCATAGATACAATACTAGTTTTACAATGATTCGTAACTCTTTCGCCTTAAGAAAAATTGGAGAGTATAAATGTTAAATATCTGATGTAGCTTGTTTCCTACGTTTTATTTGTGAATCGATTTTTTTGCCAAAAAAGAATGCAACCCTAATTGCACCTTGTTCGTGTTGGGTAAGTCTAGCAAATTACCTGGAAAATCTATCCAAGTAAAACGAGATGTACAATTTTCGTAACGACTTACGAACGACATGACCGTACCCCTTCAGAAAGCCACGCTTTCCTTTGTGCTTGGTCGGACTATTTTTCTTGCCCGCGAGCGGATTTATTACGATTTGGATGTGGGCGTGGCCCCATCTATTATTAAGGTCTTGCGGTTGTAGTCGAAAAAACCCGGCTTCTTTTAATTAAGCAAATGCGATAAAATTAAGCGTGTTTCGGTGGCCACATAATTGAAAGAAAAATTGATACTTTACATGCATAAGGCATTGATTATTTACACGATTTGTTGATTAATTATGCATCACTGTTTGCATCGACATTAAAGCAGCGAAATTTTTAAAATTATTCCTATTTGTTTTATATTTAAATTATTTTATATAGATTTATTCAAAGAATTAACCATTCCTAGAATCCGCATTTTTAACACAATGAACAACAAAAATAGCTCCAAAAATATATGAAGGAAAAGAAATAACTTACAAATTTAAGCATTCCTATTTAAAAATATTTTAAATGCACGTTGAACGTTTCTTAGAACAAGTGTTTAAGTTAATTAATAACGAAATAGGGTCAGTTAGGAAGATTCAAAATTATAAGGAACTGTTGTGTATTAAAGACGTTCAAATTGTTTTAAGTCAAAATAGGTTTGTGTACTGAAATTTCTTACATCTAATTTAATTAAATTAAAATTTTTATTTTTTTAATTTTTTTATTAAATTAATTAAAAATTTTAAATTAAATTAATTTAAAAACATGTATTTCGTAGTAACAAATTATGTTTTTGCCTCAAAGTGCTTCTCCAAAAACAAGTGAATATTGACTTCTTTTCTCCACTTATCACTTGGGAATATAATAAAAAGTAATACATGGATGTTTTTTTTCTCACTCGTGGTGATTAATTCCACTTCCAAAGTGTAAAACAAAGCAAATATGTATTTATTAGAAACTATAGCAAAAACAAATCAAAATGAATTATCGATATAAGCGTTTTATATTTAATTATACAACCTGAAAAAATATCAAAATTTAAGGAAAACTTAAAATAAAATATTGATGACGAAACCCCGCTGGGCGTGACAAATCTGGTTCTCAAGATTTTTATATTTCTACATAACACTGTTAAATTTTCAACAATATCGGCAAATGAATTACTGAAATATTAATCAAAATTTTGTTCAAATGAGAACGAAATTATGTCATATGAAGGAAATTTGCCTTCAAACGTTTTGCTTAGGAGTCATTCTCATCAAAACGGACGTTTAAATTCATCATAACATGTAGTGAATAGAGAGGTTTTATTTTCGTCAACAATCGTTTCATGGACGAAGGCATACGGGACGAGGAAAAACGGTTTTGTGCGAGACGTATCGTAATGGATGTAATTTGCATTAGGGGATGGTTACCCCTAAAATTTCTTGCGACCGGTCTTTTATATGAGATCGAGACCTTTAACGATGCCATCAGCAGAGCGCCGCCAGCAATATAAAAACTTTTATTTGCTGACTTCTCAATACTTATTTGCCCTCTCTGAGTGGTTTTCTTTTATTTTCAGTTCCATCATTGAAATTAATTGTACTAGGATTTATGTTTTGTATGTAAGAGTCAGCAATTTTTATAATGTGCTATACTGATTTTTTCCAGTCCTCAATTGATATGTTATTATTAATTACATTTTTTATCAAATTTGTAATACTGGGACAGGGCAACATTTTCTACTCTGACCATGCAATGATACGGAGGAAGACGTAAAACAGGGTGCCTAGTCTGTTTATCCAAATTATAGCACAAATACTGTCCTTTAATGGCGCATGAGTTTTGGACTTCCAAAAGTTGCGCTTTTTTGTAACTGAATTCAAAATAAATATCGTTCTCGATCAAATACTCCTGGATTTCAGTCTTTGCTGAAGCTGGTGCGTAAAAAGTAAAATATATTTTTTTTTCTAAAACTTCAAAGCTTAAAAATTTACGATACATGTTGATATTATTTTTTCTTCTTAACTCACCCAAGGATTCACACCCAAGTATCGGCATTCAATTAATTAACATCCCGTATATTTTTAAATGTATTTATGCTTTGAAGACGAACTGAATAATCAAAATAAAAATAATTAAAAGGGAAAACCACTCTCGTTGATAAAAAACAATCAGATTTTCTGCGCGTCCGCCATCTTGTCAAGAATATCGATTTCGAGAAGAACTGTTAACTTATCGTTTGCAACGTCATTAAAGTGATACTTAAACCCGCAGTAGTGGAAAGTCGTAAAAAAACAAAGACTTGAAATAACAATTCCTTTTACGATTGCGCGTGGCTTTGAAAAATAGATCCAATGGCCGACCAAATGGTTTTCCGTAATCTAGGTATGTACCTCCATTTTCTAAAAGAACAACGGCACAATTGCAATTCCAATTCTTTTGTTGCGGCTCTTTCTTTTCATTTCGTATATAGCAACCAACAATTTGTGTCCACCATTGAAATAGATTCCTTTAGATGAACAAGAATTAATAATATGTATTTTGTGACAAGATCCACATTTCAACTTGTAGACTAAGAACTTTTCAGTTTTTCGTGTTTTTTAAAAATTTTACAATGGTGTTTTCAATTATAAGATGAATCTTAAGACCAAATTTATTTGAAACTATTTTTTCGTTATAATCTTATCTTTGAAAGATGGTTCGTAGCTTTTTTTTAATGCTATACTGTGGAAGGTGGTATATTAAGTAGTCTGTGGATCAAAGGATAAAAGGCAGCCATTTTGTGTGTAAGGGTTAAAAATCTAATTTGTTCTGTAATTTAGTTATAGTTAAGGCCAGAAAGTCTACAGAGTGATTTAATTCCATCTCTATGGTAAATTTTATACCATGAATTTATGGGGTCAATATGATTCTGCAGTTGTCTTTCCGTTTCAGTGAAACAAGCAAAAACATCATCTACGTTTCTATACCAACAAAGAAATCTTTTCAATTTTCAAAAATAGGAAACCTTTTGAGTGACCAAAGCTTTGTCAAGATGGGTATATCGCACGGAACGTATGTATAATTGAATTAGTAAACTTAGGCGTGGGAGGCAGGGTTGTTTGTTCTTGGACACTTAAGCTATCTTTTAATATAAATAAGACTAAATATATAGCCTTTTTATAAATAACATGGAAAATCGTCCCAACTTTTCAAAAAAAAAAATTGAATTTTATTGCAGTAATTTTGTGTTTCTGAAAAACTACGCTGCGGGATTATAATATAGCGGAACGTATAGTATTCATCTTCAGCATCTAAAAGTAATACGAAATGCTATAGTTTTGGTTGTATAATTATGTGTGAAAGGCCCGAAATGTTACTGCTTTAAGTGAAAGTAAAGTGCTTTTTGAAACACCCCGTATATCCTAAGTGTTTCGTATTTTCATCAGTAACTGTCTAAGGAAAATAAAGGTATTGTTATTATTATTTGAGAAATGAATTGAAATATGTAAAGTGCGTTAGAGACGACATTCACCGGAAATGCCTATTATTTTTGAACCGTTTCAGATTTTTATCAATAATGGTGTGTTTGCTCGCATGTTTCTGAACCGTCACGTATAGGTAAGTATTGCGTGGACTAACTAGAGGCTCATCGATTGGCAGTGTATATATTCTGTGATGTTTCGTGACTATATTGGGCGTGTTATATTTCAATATGACCTCGCTTATTCCGGAAACCTTTACACCATTTGAAACACTTGGAATTTAAGGAGGAGCAATCCAGAGGCCTCCGCAGTAATGCATAAAATCTAGCCGAGTTTAAAGACGTCTAAAGGTTACATTTAGATTGAGCTATACCTTTTTTTTTCGGTATAATACAACTGAGTCATCAAAGTCTCCTATTCGAATTTAATGAGCGATTAAGGAGCGTAAGATTTCAATTTGCAATGCGTTATTAGACAGAGTATTAATCAATTATTTATTACCTTCGACCCTTTTTTTTTCACTATTTACCTTCACATAAAATGTCAATAGCGTGAATTGCCATACCATATTTGACAACTTATCTTTATCCGTCTCTACGTCATCACAAACTAAATTTATGACGTCACATGTGACTAAGGTTTGTTGATGATTCATTTGCTCCATGTTCCACAATTCCAATTTTTAAACTATCTGCTGCTTTGAAAAACAGAAATTAAAAAAAAAACGGGTAAATGCTACCCCACCTTGTGTCTGCGCTTGTCGCCTCATATTTATTTAGTGTTTGCTGACGTCGTGAAAGAAAAGTAGCTTTTTTGGTAATCCCAATTTTAATTTACTGTTGTTTCGACAGACAGCTGCGTCAGAGAAACAAAAGCACGTCATAGTTTTGAGATGAGTTTCGGCAGACTGACGAATATCATACTCGAATGTTACTTGAAACCTATAGATAGTTGCTAATTGACAATAATTGGTGGTTAACCTTGTAAGTATTTTAAGCAAAGAACGTGACGTTACGTACAACAAACTTACCGATCAGGTGATTTTCCACTGTGTTTTCCTCGGCAGGCGCTTTGCCGTCGTCGGTTGATTTTTCTTCGTTTTCTTTGTTGTTATCGTCGGCTTCATTTTGGGGAGCCGATTCTTTGCTCGAATTGCAGCCCATCGCGTTATCACTTCAAAAGCACCTTCAAATATTAATAGATTCTCATCTGATTAAAGATTCAACTGTTATTACACGCGTATAGTATAATAAATATAAAAAATAAATTATAAAACAATTAATATGTTTATTTTAACTATTATTTTTAATTATTAGCAAATACGTATTAATATTTTGGAAGCAGATACGGTTTAAACGTTGAAACCCTCGAAAATTCGGTTCGTTTTAAGGATTTTACGTACCTTGTCGGGAAAGACGACCGGAAAACCTCAGCTTTGCGGATAGAATTCGGGACCGCGCAACCCTTGTTGCATGAACACGACAAAACAAGGGAGTTTCTCCCGTTTATTTCATTCAAAAATTGTCCGTCGTCCTGACTTGCGCGCAAAATTCACGGCCATCCCCCATATCACGTTTTCCCGATGACTCACTGAAAAATTAATTCGAAATTCTTTTAAAGCCTGCGTATATGTATTCATTTGAACAGGAATAATTCATGCGTCGAATATCGACATTAATTGCTTAATAGATCGGGCATTATTAATGTGGCCGATTGTGAACTTTTCTAGGCAACCAAATATACTCTGGAGCACGATTTTTCCTTTCGTGTCTCGTTCACTTTCTCTTTTTTTTTTGAAGTGTTGATTTTAAACAATAGCAATAGAATTTCTATTTTAAAATTTGCTTCGTTTTTATTTGTTTTTGTACACATTGTCCATTACATATAATTGTGTTATGTGGATTGGAATCAAACGAGAACGAAAACTACTTCAGGTTTCGACAAGAAGACACAGTTAATCAGATGGACAAGATAAGCACTGAATTTCTTTCTATTTAATTGTAATCCCATGTGTGTTTATGATGTGTCCTAAAAGGATGTATTTTAACTCTCTCCTGTTCGCTTTCTAGGTTAATCCCCAAGTTTTTTTAGCATTTTCGAGAAATTTCTGTACCTCTCGGCTAAAAAGCATATTTGTTACTTTCCATGATGTTGTTTTGATTTTGTTACGCTCCATTTTTACTTTGTCGCAGTAAACTCCATTGTGAAAAAGGTGGTTTGCATAGTGTTTATTTAGTTTCAGCTGATGATTAGCCCTTCACACAAAGAAGAAGATATTCGTTGTTCTGTGAATGTAACCTGACGTTTCCCAGATTTGGCGAAGATTTTGAATTTGCTCCGTCAATGTCACGTAAACAAAAAGGGAATCATCGAACGAGACGACCAGATTATATTTGGCGAGTTTTCCTAGTCCAAAAATGTTAAGACTGACTACCTCATTATTGGTGAGTACTGTCAAGCCCAGTGACATGTTGCCATTAACCTAAAGTTTCATTTTAGTTCAGGTAAAGAAACTTCCGCATAGAACTGCAGGCTCCAACGGCTTATATTGAAAATTGAGGCGGCTGGATCATAAAGTGTTGCTGGCTTATTTTGATGGAGGGGCGACCAATTTCGCGGTATTAGGCAAAGCTCCCCATATATCGCGAAGCTTAGGCGAATAGAACGATCATTTTGCAATCGACGGAGAAGAATTTTGCCAAAATCATTTTGGCCATGTTGTTTACTATGAACTTGAGGGAAAAGTTGAGGTTAATAGTGTAAGTGTTGTGATTTAAGGAAGGATTTAAGATCAACACTGTCGGTGCTCACTATGGGATGAAAAAGAGTCAAGTCAGATCCCTGGGCTGGTGATATGAAGAATTTAGATTATTTTCATACCTGCCAGTGAGTAACATGCTTTATGTCCATTTAAATTTAATAATAAATTTAAATAAAGTAGTAGCAGAAAAAGATGGATGGCGACAGGCAAGGCACATGTTCATGCAAACACAGATGGATTTCCACAGGACATTCTCTGTGGCATCCAGCGTTTGGGTTTGGCCTCATTGTTGTGTTTGTGACTGGACCCTCTGTTGAAGTTTACTTATACATATATAATAAAACCTTTTTAAATCTTCTGGTTGTTGAAGCTCTCACTAAACCAGCTAGATTTTTACATTCGCTCAAGCGATTGTAGCGCCATCTTTCGTTAAATTGCCAAACTACTTAATTGAGGCGAGCGTCGTAGATGTCGCGCTTGCGCGATAGTACTGCCAATTGTGGACCTGATTAGTCGGACGGGGCGCCATCTCTTGTTAAGTTTCGGAACTAATTTGTTAAGGGGAATACCGGGCGATGGCACTTGACATAATGATGCCGCAATCTCTCGTTTAGCGGCGGAACTAATTAGTTGATACAAGCACCCATAGATGGTGCGCGGAACGAATTACTTGGGAACAGCACCGATAGATGGCGCGCGCGACCTCTCGTTAAGGTTCGGAACCAAGTTGTTGGAGGTAATACCGGCAGATAAGGCTTCCACCAGACTGTGGCGACACCTCTCGTTAATCAACGGAACTAATTAGTTGAATCGCATCCGAAAGTAGGACTATCTCTCATTGGGTATCAGAACAAGTTAATTCTTAAATTATCGGATCTTTAAATTCATTAAATTAGTTATTGAAAAAAAATACGCATCTTGATAAGATTTTATTTTATATAATATATAATATAATATCCAACTTTTTCGGTCTTACGGAAGGAGTAACTAAATCAAGAGCAGGAACCTTTGCACCCCATGTTGATGTCCTGTGTTCTGAGTTTCAGGCCTAAACATAAAGTCGCCTAGAGAAAAGACATTTTTCATAAATGTATTAAGATTTTTTATTTTCCAGAAAATTTGCACTCGTATGTCGCGTAGGAGCGGTAAGAAACGTTATACCTTTGCGCTCGTATGCCGCCGTATAGGCGGCACACCATGTGCCAGCAGGTTGGCCGGTCTATCATTCCCTAAACTCACTTCTAATATTTATAAATTGCTTTCTTGAACCCTCGTTAAATAAAAGATAACATGATATTTTTCAAAGCAACTTCCACTCGCGAAAGGACATATACACGAGTGCCAAGGGTTTAATTTTAATTACATCTAAATGATGCGATAATTGTGAACTTTTCAATGTCGCCATTCTTTGTGGTACAACACTGCCAGCTTTTAATGTATATTCCGTTCCTGTAAGGTGTGGTTTCTGCATATTACTGTCTATTACACAATTTTTCAAAAAAACCTTCACATGCTACTATACTATTTACAAATCTTCTGGATTCCTTCTGCATCGGTTGTTGATGAATCCAAATTGCTGATATGCTGGCTTCTTAGCTCAACTTGAGAGTTTCAGTTAAGCTCTGAAGAAGCCAGCAGGATGAGCAAGCAAATAGTAATTGATCCCCTATATGTGATTTTTACTTTCGGCGATGTATGTATGTAACTCGAAAATAAACAAAATGTGTTTAAAAATACTTGGAGAGTTGCAGTTTAAAATATTAAAATTTAACATTTAAATTTGTATAACAACTTCTGGTTCTGTGATCATAAAGCTATTAGAAAATATAGTGGCCCTAGTGAAGTAAAAATTGATGCACGGCAGGAGGCTATGTCATTTTTATACAGATGGAAATGAACTGCGGCACATGCCTCTAAATGTCACCCACCAACCTGCGCTTTGCGCCACTTTATTTTGAAACAGTCTACACTTTTTTGCCAGAAGACTTAATCTGAATATATTTTGAGAAAATACTGCCGAAAAAATGGTGCATTTTGGATATTGAATCCTGTAAGGTTATTTTTTAAAAACGAGATAGACCCTCTAAAATTTTGTCGTATTGTTGCTTCATAACTTCCAGTATTATTAGCATTGGGCAGGGCCTACATCTCTAGTATTTGGATGGTTTCACCCACTAACCTGCAGTTTCGGCCATTTTCCTTCTAAGCAGCCATCTTATTTTCTCAGAACATTTAACGATATTTGGGCTTATTTTGACAAAATACTACCGTAAAAATACTACATTAAAACTGAAAACTGTCGAATTGAAAAACTGTCAGCGACCATGTTGACTGTTGAAGTGAACAAAAAGCCGCGTGTTTAGTTGGAGTGAACGCAGCCAAGGAAAATACTGTAAAAACGTCACAGTCGTACAATTCAAATGCCTTATTGGAACAAGTGAAAAACGAAAAAGTTTAGAGCAAACAACAAGTTCATCACAATCGCATATGGTCACGCCAGCTTCCAAAATTGGCAGCAGATTATACCAACTTCTAATTGAACTTAAACATTATGCTTTTTATATTTACCGAAGAGATATTATTATTTAAAAAATAAAGCAATGTGAAGTCGCAGCGGGAACCGGCTATATCGCCCGCAAATAATAAATGCTAATAACTCCCAGGTGATTTTACAATTAGGCTGATGATATTGTTCGACCCTAGGCAACATAATCCTTAAACTTGTAAAATAATTTCCACTCACCGGAGAAGTGAGATTGCATAACATTCTTGCATGTTCCACACAGTCACCGGCGCGTAATTTTAATTAAACATCTTGCTACAGCTTTGCGATGTCCCGACTATCTTGGCGGCGAACAACATTTCAACACTTTCATTCATTTTCGTCGCCAAAGCCAACTGTTGCAGATTGCGATATTTACTTGGTATCGAGACAAAAGTACTTGGTATCAAATCGAATCAGCCTCACCAAAAAAAATAAAACCGAACGCATCAGACAAACATAATCTCTATCTGATCTATGGTGACGCGTTGTCTCGCGCCAGCCAAGTCGAACTCGTCCGACTTCACTCGGCCGAGCCCGTGCCAAACGCGAGAAGGACGTCCGCCCTTCATTTTTTTTTCCATTGTCAACAAACATAAATTGTCAAACATACAAGAAATTGCTTACGAATAATTGTATTTATTGTAATCATCAGCTTATTATTCCAATGTTATCATGGAGTTTTTTGATTAAAGTACGTGCATAACGTGACGCAAACCTTTATTCTTTTCTTTCTTAATTTTGTTTTAGTTATTGTCCTTCAAAGTTCATTGTTAGTTTCCTTAAAAAAAATAAAAAAATAATAAAGTGCTAAAAGTATCGATATGAGTAGGTATCGATACTTTAAGAGTATTTATTTGAGTAGCATTGAAAAAAGATTTGAGTACTATCGAAATGAGTAGGTATCGATACTTTAATTGTATCGGAACATCCCTATTCCAGATCTACAAAATACCACGATTTACGTGCCGATTTCTTCTTCTTCATTTATTTCATGGGCAATTTTACCAACGACTCACCTTCAACACACTCCGCAACTGTGATGTCGCAACCTATCTGAAGGTTCTAAAATCTAAAACGGGAACAGTAGAATTATATGTGCGACAAAAAGGTTTCATACAAAAGTTGAACTACTTGTTGAACTTGCAAAATTATTATTAAAACAAAATACCACCTCATTGGTTTTCACTGATAAATGGGTTCATAGACGTAAAAGAAGAAGAGTAACCCCAAAATGATCAAACATTTGTGTAACTTTATGCGGTTTTAAAAGTTTACGTCGTCTGTTTAAACATGACTGAAACTAATATTATTTTACCGCCTAACAAGCAAATGGATGTCGAATTCGAATTTTCCCAGAGTCCCAATTTGTACGATCATTTAATGTTTTTGAATTTTAGTCGGGAAGGTGAGAAGCATTGCATTTCTACATAATACTTTCCTATCTTCATTTTATCTTCTAGGACGTGCGATATTGGGTAGTTCAGATTTAACTGGCACATTTTGGGAGGGAACTCTCTTTTATTATGAAAATGTGAATGACCTGATAGATTTTAAACATTCCAAATATTATATTCACATGACAGCGTCTGACGCAAAGTTTATAGATGAAGAAACGGTACAGTGGGTTTTATTTGCAATTATCAAAGATCCGTCGACATATTGTTGCAGATAGCAATTGCAGAGGACGCAGCAATTTTAAATATTGTTACACTTGACGATTCAAGCACAATGAAACCAATGAACTACTTCCGTCATTTCAAAAGGATCCCTGAAATCGCAGTCTGGGAAAAATCTACAAAAATCTTGTCCTGCTCAGGTCGTTGCGTAACTGTTTGGGATGTAAATAGCAGCGATAAAAAGCCCCACTTCATTTCACAGTAAGTCTTGACATTATTAAATTTAACAAAATTTTGTGTACCTTGGTTTGTTGTTTAAAACTAGGAATTTACATTTGGATGATGTAACCACAGTGGACACATTTAAAATGGATGCTAGCCTATTTGTTACTGCATCAGCGGACAGAAAAGCATGTCTCTGGGATATTAGGTGTGAAGTGCCTCCCTTAGGTAAGGATTAGAGGTCCTCAAGGTTTTGGCAGAGAGAATGTAGTCAAAATACAAGGGTTTCGAAATATGTTTTTGAAAATTTGAAACCCTTAAACTGTTACGTTTCGTAGTCAAAGTGAAAATGACCAATATTTTATGACCTGTTGAATATTTGGCTATACCTATGAATTTTGACATTGCTGATAACATTTCTTTTTAGTACTCTATAGCAACGAATTCAGTAGTCTGGTTCAAATATGTGTTAATCAAAGGGATACAAACTACCTCGCTGTAGGAACACAAGCTGGTGATCTATACCTAATCGACAAAAGAGAGCCTGAGGATTTCGTGGCCACATTGCCTTGCTTTGAAAGTACCATAAATTCTTTATCATTTTCGGATAGAGGCCATTTAGGTGTTTGTGGTGATACTAGTGAAGTGATTGTCGTAGATTGTTTGGATTCTAAATTAGAAAAAGTGTATTCGAATAAAGAACATAAGGGACACGTGAAAGGGGTGCAGTGGTACCGGGATACGTTGTACTCTTGCGGATTTGGAAAGAAGCAACTTATGAACCACACCGTAAATCAAGTACTTTGATCTGTTGACTAATTAATAACAATTTGGGAAACAATACAAACTAATTTTATATTGAATATGGTTTTATTTCTATAAATCCAAAAACAGTTTTCTCTTTTACATATCATGGTGCAGCGTTTAGGGAACTAAAGCCCTACTGAAAAAATTAGTAATGAAGTTTACACCCTATGAAAGTTTAATGAAAATAAAAGGGGAACAGACAGTTTACATATTTCGTGTTTTATTACTAATGATGAAGCTAACCGTTTTTAGTGTTCTAGAGCAACGGTACTACTTATATATATCCTACATTGGTGGGGTGAACTTTCCAAAAAAAATTCCTACATTTTTTGATATGACAATTGCCTAAAATCTAAGTTTTCAACAATCTAAAGCTTGAACTGAGTGGTGGGTGGAAATAAATTGGCTTTGTTTTAAGTCTTCCTGACGCGCATTGCTCCGCGAGTCACATGATCATAAACAACCTATCAAACGTCAGGGGACAAAAATTAAAGTGTATTTATTTTATTGGTTGTTCAGAGTCATGTGACCGGCATGAACCCGTGTTGCTGGAAAGTTTACCTCATTATATATTTATTTGCTATTTCTTATAGTCGTTTTTATGAGCCGCGGGTATAGTTCTTATAATTTGGCAAATTTAAAGCACTGAAGTATCAAACCCGACAAATTTTTCGTCTTTAAGCCTTCAAGTCGGGAATTTCTGTCGCTGGTGTGGTGTGCGCTTAACAATCTTACATTTTCTGAAAATTGTGTACAAAGAAAGTTTGGCAAACACTTTATATACATATAAAGAACACGGATGCTGTCAGTAACATTGCACCAAACTAACAGTTTACTGATTCGACAGGTACCAAAAATTATTGTCAATGTTTTTACATTTAACTTTTTAGATATCCAATTGAAGTGTGTATTTTTTAAAATTTCAACGGTTTTAACGATAAAAAACGTAGCGAACAATTTGAATTTCGTCCAGCACTTGTTATCCGGACGTAGGTACCTGGTCAACGAGTACGTGCTGCTTTCCAGACTTTCCAACGCAATGTCGCTGATTAATCCGATACAATTTTTTTTTTCGGCATAAATCGGCCTACGTATATTCGTAATATGTACATTAAATAAAGCAGTAATACCAAAGCACCTTGGTCTTAAAATGTATAATCTCTCGTTTTGGTCTAATCTAGAAAAATATATGTATATTATATTCACTTAGGGATAGATATGTTCAAGGTTTGTTTAGCTATATAGATTGTTATTGGACCACACTGCAGTCTTAAACCTAAGAGACCACGATAACCAATTATAAATATATGTACACCGAGGAAAAGTAAAATGGACGGTATTTGCTATGATGATGCTATATACCATGAATATAGTTAGATAAGTAATTATTATTTTAATCTCGTCGAAATTAAATTGGCCAATATTTAACTATATTCAGTAATAGGTCAAGAGAAAGCGACGTTTAATGAAAATGAATGTAATTTTTTTTTTCAAAATGATAATATCGCTTGCTCTTGGTCTACCTATATTTACAACCATACTAATTAAGCGTTAAGTAGATTTAAAGAAACGTGTTTTAGAACAGGTTCAGTCTATAATTCACGCAAAATAAAAAGAATTTGGATCTACTGACGAACAACTAACAAATAACTTACTAAACCTCAATCTCGTATTTACAAGGAGTTTTCACGCAGACTCTTGCAAGTATATACAGGACTCATTACGTTTTGCATTAGCAGAAAAACTGGCAAATTATTTATATTAAACAAATGTGAAGTTGATGTTTTTTTGTAATGTGCCCGAATTTTATAATGGCATGAGAATTATAAGAGGGTAATAAAATATTAACCGGCAGTTAAGAGCCATTTGATTTTATTGTTCTCTTATAATTTTAGCCATAACGGTAATTAGGGTAATTTTTTACATTGTATTTTAAGTTTTCTTAATCGGCATCCCAATCAATAACAATAGAGAGAAGAAAAGTGTGTTAAGGCCTAATGTGGTACCAAGAAAAGTGAGTTACTTATAAAAAAAAATGTATACAGGTTTGTATAGTGAGGTCGGGGAGAGTTTACAGCCATTTTTTTCTAAGACTGCCGCCTCTCTTACCCCACATAAGGTTATATCATACTATGGTCCCTTGAAGGTTCTGAGGATCGCTTGCTGAAAGAAAATTAATAAATATATATTCTTGAATATCCAAAATATTAATATTTTTTCGCACTATTAGATTTTCTAACGCGATAGATAATGTTCTATTTAAGGTTATGTTGTATTCCTTTTATGCTTGTGATTATTGATTACATAGACAAACTTAAAATAACGATAAACTTTTTAAAAATATTGTTAAATGTGTGATGAAGAATCTAATGTACAAATATTTATAAAAGAGACTTTAAAAGTATGAAAAAATCTAGAATAGATCTCAACATCGTACGATTTTTCTTGGAATCAAACTCAGATGGGAACTCAGAGACAATGTATAGTGTGTCTTAAAGTATATCGTCTCGCCTTCTGTTACTAAATGTAATTATGACGTTCATACCGATTATTAGTGGTTAAATAGAACAGGCAATAGTTTATGCCCTTGTCATTAAATGCAAAACGAATCGTAAAAAATATGTGTGAATGTTTAATAAGTAGTGAACAAGATGTACTTTGGATATACTGAATAGTAACCTAAAAATTACTAATTGTATTCTGTTATAAAATGCTTTTTTTAACTTTACAGAATATTCTAAGTATAAATTTTAATACTTAACGTAGTTCAATGAGTTAGCACCTGTTAAGTGTAAACATCGCGATTTGTGTATAAAGAATATAAGTTCATACATCTAAATATTTTAAATTACAAGAAGAATCTATATGTGCATTAACATGAACAAATCTATCTTATGGTAAGGCAATTATTTTTTAAAACAACGGGTTTAAATATTTTCAAAAACAAAACCGAACTACAAAATATAACTCATTTTTACAATACAAGAAATAGAGATAAGGGAAATGTGATAACAAATAAGTGTTGTAAAAAACAAATAGGCCAAAGATCTTGCACATTTTTCCAATTTCCTAGATGAGGATTTAAGGCAGAGATTCATAATTTTAACATCATCAAGTACTTGCAAAAAATATCTCGAAACATCTGTAAGCCTCGAAACAATAAACAACTTAATAGATATAAATGCACAAAGAACAAAATATCAGACAAAAATTATATAATGAATGTCGAAAATAAAAAGACCAAGAATTACATGTAAGATTTGCTTGTTTTCAAATTCAAATTTAAATTAAACTTGTGTTTAAAAATTTTATATTATGTATTTTACATAAATTATGTAGCAATTCCTTGAAACATTTATTAACGTCAGCAAAAACCGACGCAGGTGGAAGTCAGAAGTTTTGTAAAAAGTGTTTTACATCTTTCTCCATATCATAGTATAGCCTACTCCATTGAAGAAATTCCCAATTCAACTCGTCGAGACAAGGAAAATAAAGTACCGCACATTTGAAAAATTGAAGATTCTTAGATTTGCATACAAATGACACAGAAGCCGCTGTAACTAATGTTAATGACGACTCCACGAGTGAAAAAGAATGACAATGAACATAGCACCTTAAAATTTCGTCATTGATGCTCTTTCCGGGTATTTTATTGTCTTCGCCAGGTTATTTCGATAGCTGCTGTGAAAAACCAAGACGATATACTTCGAGACAAAGTATACTAACCTGCAGGCGTAGGTAATGCCACTTGGGGCGTCGGCATCGGCTCGCCGTAAGGCGAAATGTTGAATCCGAAATTTGCCGGTTGTCCCAACGATTGCAGGCTCAGAGTACTGCCGGTACGTATCGACGGACCCAGAGTCGGATTCACCAGTAGCGCCGTATTGCTCGATATGATCGGCGGACTGTTTTCTTCCGGTGGCGTCACCTCGAGTCCGATGCTGTCGTTCAGGGCGATTTTTATCGGATTTTGGAAATTGGTGGAGAAATGGGACAAGCCGATGTCCTCCAAGCTGCTTTTTCTTTGGCCCGTACCGACCGCAGGTAAACCTTGCCTCAGCGAATTCGATCTCCTCAGCAATATGTCGTCGACCACTCGTAACGAGTTCGATCTTCCTCGTTGGTAAGTGTTGACGGTCGGACTGTCCGGCAACGACAACGAGTTCGATTTGGTAGTGGCCAGTGGCGGCGGTCTCGGCGATTGATATCCGGTTAAGCCGAGACCCGAACCTCGTCGCCCGCTTAATTGAGCGCTGTTGCTCAGCTGCTGGAGAAGGTTTTGCGAGCAGAAACTAATGTTTGATTTTCGTCGGCTGTTGTGTCGTTCGAACGTTTTCTGAGCGGAAAACGGACTGGGCCGCACCAGGTATCTAAAAGTGACTCATTGTTTTAGTTGGTGGTCCTCTCTGACAAAATTATTATTACTTGAAAGCAAACGATATTGCACACAATAAGGGGTTTTAGTACTTTACTTTGTGTCCATTTTCATCTTTCCAATTAGTTCAGAGGTGGTGATCCAAGTATCATAATTTCGCAAGAATATATAAAACAGACCTGTTGTTCAGCACCGAATATTTTTATTAGTGTCTAGTAGCAGTAGGTTGACATGTGGCAGGGCACGCAAGATTCTGGGCGTTACCTTGGATGACACTCAGACCACATTGGCCAGCTAAGTAAAAATCTTTCACGTCAACTTCGCAGAATGGTGAGTTTTGATGTATTTTGATACTTTGGCTTATTTAACTCGCGTATAAACTATACCACCATACTGTGGGATAACTCCTCTTATGTCATTAAAATATTTAGGATGCCAAAAAAGGCAGTCCGGACAATTACAAATTCAAATTTTAACGAACACTGAAAGCCATTGTTTATTAAACATAAAATAATGACGGTTCCATGTATATATTTCAAAGTGTTCTTGAGATACACTCCAAGACCGACCAAAACTCTCCTTATATAAAATTTTATAACGCATTGCCACAATCTTTTAAACGAAAAACATTTTAAATACAAAATTAAAAGTTTTCTTCTAAGTAAGGGCTATATAGCGTTGGTGAATTTTTTGAAGAAAACATCGGTAATGACGTGTGGCGGGGTGTTGTGCATTGATTGTATGATTGTTCTGTGCTATATACATATAAATTTATTTTTTATTTGTTGTCCTGTTAGATTTTATTGTATATCTAGATTTAGTATATTGTTATATACAATTGTATGTTAGCATATACTTACATATATTAAAATTTTTTTTTCTTTTGTATGACTTGCTACAAACAGTGATATATAAAATAGTCAATAAACCATCTATCTATCTATCTATTTTTAAGATCTTTGGCTTCAAAGAGGCATATCAATCAGTAGGTATCAGATCAGTATTTTAACTAGGGCCTTCAGTATTGATACTCTTCAAACCAGAAGATTTCACAGTGATTTAATTTTTCTCTTGAAGATTCTGAATGACGATATTTCGTTCTGGTTTCTAGCTGTTATACTGCTGTCTTTCTCTCTCTTTGCCTTTCATGAATGTAAAGTTTTGTAAATTGGTTAAACCGTAAATAAATAAATTAGTACAAAGTTTTTTGAAGCTGGAAAACATGGTCTAACTGCCCCCCCCCCCCCCCGCCCCCGATACGATATCCATTCCATAAAAAGAAATAATTTTGTAATGAAATCAATGGGGAACAATGAAATGAAAATTGATTGGATCATTCTGTATGTGTCCTTTGCCTACCTAACAAAGTTTTATTACTCCGTCCTTTTCTGAAATAGACTTTAAAAACACCGTTTTGGATAAAGCACCCAAAAATGTACTTTTGACCCATTGGTCATTGACTGGGATTCGAACGGAAATTTTTATTTTATTAATCATTCTAGCAATGACTTGTTTCCTCTAATTCAGTTAATACTTACATGATGTCGCCTTCCTCTAGTTTAAGATCACAGCTGGGGTTTATGATGACGTAGGACAGGCTGTTGCGTTTTTCGCTGACGTCGTTGTAGTCGATGGTCGGCAGATTGAGGCTTTCCATGCGCGACCTCACCAGATTCGCGATCTCGGCCCTCTCTATCTGCTGATTGTGGTTATCTTTGGCTTCGTCGCCCATATTTACGGAATACTAAAAAAACCGGTATCGTTTGTACCTTGGTTACATTTTTGGCAAGACTCGTTCGGGTTGGTTTATTAAGATCTTAAAGTTAAAGGCAACTTTGAGAAAGGGGAAGGCACTATTAAAGCGATGCAACTTGATTCTTTGGGTTATGCTAATAATTAATTCGTTAGCAATATTTTGTAATTTTAGAGAGTAAACAAAACTCACCATAGAGCTACGCCTGTTAGAACAACCGAGACAATTGGTCCCTTCCTTGGGCCGATAAGTAACACCTACTCTATCCGGACCCAAATCCTCGTCAAGCTAGCATAAAGAGGCCAACTAGTTTATATAACGTGCACTACAACGTATTAACTACGTATAGGCAATGCTCAAGAATGGTTTGATAGTTGAAAAAGTATCGCTTTCATTTTTGAACATTTGACATACAGGGCGTCCCTATAAAAGTTTTCCCAACAAACCTTAGTCTCCGAATAATAAAGAGTGATGTATAAGAAAAATAAGTAATGTATAATATAAATATAATGAGTAATGTATAAGAATAATAAAAAAAAGAAAATTTTTTACTATTTCTCCCACATATCTGAGGTCCAATTCTTGAAATTTGAGAACGAAGATCTCCTAAAAACATATACTCTGGCTTTGTCACTGTTATTTACCTTGCAACTAAAATTACAGTCGTAGTTTTACACAGCTTGGCGGTTGCTAAGTTACCAACCGAGAAAACACTACAGGGACGCCCTCTATAGACGATTAAGCAAAAAATGTTGGAGTATAGTAAATCGGGGTGGCAACGAAAATCTTACCTGTGTCGAATGTCATTAATAAACGAAGTTAATAGTTTAAACGAGAATGTTATTAAAGACAAATCGCGTTCCACTAGGAGTATAAAAGTTACGTGCAGTAAAGTCATGCCTGTAAATATAAGGGTCAGATTACTTGTTAATATCGACGTACATCGAAAAATCGAAAACGGTGTAAATTGTGGTGAATGCGGTGCACGAAAGTGAACACCAAAAACGTGAAAAGTACGGAACCTGACCCTGATAATTGCGGTATTATGGAAAAGCGAATTTCACTTTTGTACGTGTGTGCATCGGTGACATTTTTCCGAAATATATACATTGATAAACGTATACCGTTGCCTTTATTTATTGTTGAAAATTTAAATTTAAAATAATAATAATTAATAATAAGCAGTTCACTCATTCGAATCCTGCAGTATTGGTATTGATATTTCAACATAACCAGCCGGAACCGTCAAAAATCACGATCTAAGATGCATACCATTGCCAAATTTAAATTCTTCATGAACACGCAAGCAAATATTTATGTTAATTATTAATTTATTTAATAAGAGTAAGGAACGTTTCACTATTTTATTTATGCACTAAAACAGTTTTACGGAACGCCTAATGCTTCAAATACAAATCCCAAAACCCTTTTTTGGACAAGATAAAATGTATGACCATGAACACGATTTTGTGAGGTTATTTTTCTTTCGTCTTCTTTTATGGGATCGACTTTGAGGTTATAGAAATAGACCGTTTTTATAAGTTCGATAAAAAACTCAAAGATCACTTCATCAGTACAGAAACGGTTCTCAAATAACTCAAACATAGAATTTCGGTATCTAGTAAATTGGGTTATAGAAACCAGAATTTCTAGTTGACGTAACCACAGTTCTTTAAAGAATTTTCGTTTGTTGCCAAATTTGTGTGTGTTACTTATTTCCATTCATTTTGCTCGCATTCTGTGCACTTGTGCACATTTTTGGTCTTTAATATTTAAAGAATTTAAAATGACTGATACCTATAATTAATACAATAATATTGATGATGGTCAAGAACTGAGAAACTTTATGGCAAACTAGGTTAGGTCCTAATAGCATTCATATGATCGTGAGTTGGTAATCCTTTTACTACTGTCATAAGTGACACTGTTTCATGATCATTTTGAAGCACCTACAATTGATATACCCGACCACATCGTTTTGGCAAATAATATTGCTATTGCTGTTACATTCTATGGAGGCCCTGCCTATAAATATGCGCATGCGCATTTGAAAATTTGTTTTTAACCAATGGCAGTTATAAGCGTTCGACACATAAGGCTTCGCGGCTCCCAACAACCAACATGGCCGCCCCCAGGTCGTCAATGTTTGGATGCTGCATTTTTACGTCAGTATTTTCTCAAAATATGTCGAAATCCCATTAAATTTTCAGGCAAAAAAGGAATTAAGGTGTAGAAAGTGTTGTTGTTGCAGACGGATCGGCGACCTTAGTATAATTCTGTAAGCATTTTAGAGTTTTGGTTCTTTAAGCGCTATTTGCACAATTTGTTATTATTAAACATTATTAAATTTCATATTAAATTCACTGGAAACATCTAAGTGGAAAAAATGTTCAACAAGCACCTCATATAGACGGAGCGTTCGTTGTTAGTATAATTCTGTAAGCATTTTAGAGTTTTGGTTCTTTAAGCGCTATTTGCACAATTTGTTATTATTAAACATTATTAAATTTCATATTAAATTCACTGGAAACATCTAAGTGGAAAAAATGTTCAACAAGCACCTCATATAGACGGAGCGTTCGTTGTTTCATCGCAAGTCTAGTAATTGCAAAGTACCAATGCAATTTCGTTAAAAAACTGTAGGTGTTGGAAAATGTAACCAATAAATTTAAAAACTAGTATAAAACAAAACGCTAAACGGTGTCGTTTATATAACTTTAAATTTAAAATATTTAACAGCAATTGTCAAATGCTAAAAGTACATGTAGAAATTGCATTGTGTTTACCGGGTTTTAAATATTAGTATCAATTCACACGATATGTTACCTATATTTTATTGCCATCTGGATTCGAATGTAAATAATCAAAAATTGCTTTTCCAGAAATGCTCTGAATTTTTTAAAAGTGTAAGCTCACATGAAACATTCCAAAAGGAGAATTGTCTTATTAAGAAATATTTAGTTTTGTAGACAAGATTGTTGTTTCTTATTAACTCGTAGCTCGGCGTTGCCAAATATATTCGGATTTCAGGGACTGATTTTGCCTTCTTATGAAAATTAGTAATTTTTTTCAGAAAAATCACGGTAGTGTGGCCACTCAATTATTTGGAGGTGCGCATTCTCTACGAGAATATCACAGCCACCTGCGGCGCATCACTTTTTACCGTAGTAGGCCACTATATTCACAGTTCATCCGGGTGCCGAACGAAACTGAAATAACAACGTAGCCCAATCAAGTTTCTTATTTTCAGGAAATTTTGCAACTTCTAGGGAATTGAAGGGAACTAGGTGAGTTCTAGGAAAACTTGTAGAGAAACCCTTTTTTTTCTTATCTTAAAACATAAAATCAAACCAGAATAAAATTTATTAAACTGTTACCTCCCTACCAATCGTGTTTCGTAGGTGGAGGCACATATTTATGCTTAATAAGAAAAGGTTTATGTTATGAAATTGTTGTTTTCTTTTTCAATTCAGTTAATTTGCGGAAATTTTAAGGACCGCATAGGGAATTTGTTGGGACGTTTAGTGGCAACGCTGTGAAAACTATTCCAGTCATTCTAACCTCATTTTTCGAAGTATGATATCAAAACACGTAAAGTGAAAATGGGATAGAATAAATTTCAGAACGATGATAACGCGTGAAATCTTAACGGCGTCCTCTCTGTGCCACTGCAATTCTCAGATTCAAGAATTTGAATTCTCGGTCTTGTTTCTCGATATAAGGAACTGTATCGTACTTAATATTTGTATTAAAGAGAAAAAAAGGAAATTGTTTTTAAAGTTTTGTGCATTTGGTGATGCTTTTTCCGTTTACACGACACCGACCATCCATAGTTTACCTGACCGAATTTTATTTACTCACCGATGGCACACGTACGCAGCTCGACCATGTCGATGACGGAATACTCACGTGTGACGAATCGGACAACGAGGTGTCTTGCGTCCGATAGATACCGATCGGTATTTCGCAAGTGGTCGAGCAAAGTTTCTGGTACAACCTGCCGTACGTTCGGATCCACATGTCGTCTTTTCCTATGCGCATCTATACAGATCAACAATCGTCTTAAATCGAATGAAAATAAATCAGAATTTGTCTTTTATTTTTCAGGCGCACCTCACGGTAGCTCTAAACTGGGTGTGTACATAAATAGTAGACTTTAAACCACTTTATAGAATTTTTGACACGATAAAATTACAGCAGTTGAAAACGGCGTCTAAAATATTGCAGGGCATTTTTTAAAAACATAAGTTTGATTTTCCATATATTTATGAACCGCCCCATTTTATTTGAAAAAAAAATTGATTCTTTTAGTTGCACCTATAATTTTTGTATTTAACATTTTTCTGTAAAACAAATAATAAACGAGAGATATTATTTTGGCATACTATTTGGACATCCTGTATACCGTTGAAATTGTGCCTGCTACAAAATCCTGTTTTCATGATAAAATTAAAAATACAAGTTTGATTTTCCACATATTTAGAAACCGCCCTATTTACTTGAAAAAAAAAAAGATTGTTTTAGTTGCATATATAATTTTTGTATTTAACAGTTTTGTCTAAAATAAATAATAAACGAGACATATTACTTTGACATAGTATTTGGACACCCAGTATACCGTTGAAATTGTGCCTGTTACAAAATCCTGTTTTCATGATAAAAATTAAAAATATAAGTTTTTTTTTCAATATATTTATTGAACCGCACGGTATATTTGAAAAAAAAAAGTTACTTTGACATACTATTTGGACACCCTGTATACGGGTATCGGTCAGTATTACTTATTGAGGCTAATCTAGTATTTGACGTTACTAGAAAGCATATGTCTATGAAGCACAGGAATTGTCTCTTTTACATTACTCCGACTCTATAATTGTTATTTATTGTTAGCGGGTAAAAATACAAAAACCGAAATTAATAAATTGATAGATCGACAACCATGGCAAAGCGAGAAGCTTAGTTGAGGGTTCTTTCAACATTACTTACTTTTTTTGCTTAAAAATAGTATTTGTTTACGTAATGGTATTGATATTAGTATAAACCTTACTTTTTGTATATTTTTTTACTTGTATATTACATTAAGTAAGTGTCCTAATTTTAACTAATGGATCGTTGATTGACGTAAAGAAAAAAAATCTTCATATAAAGGGGTTCTATACGTAAAGATCTCCGTTTGTTTTTGAAATAGGTTTATTTTAATTTATTAATTTTTTTGACAAGACAAAATCGAATATGACGACTTTTGCATGTACTGCATAATATAGGAAATTCTCTCATAAACATCAATTTCAAATAAATGGTGATGATGTTGTTTACGAGCCACGTGACATAAAGAATGAAAAGTCTTCAATATGCATAAAACGTAATAAAACATGACCCAGTCACTCATAAAAAATTAAAAATATTAGAGGATGAACGTAATTTAAATTTATGCTACTTACTTGCAACTTGGTCATAAGATAACATTGTTTTCAAATATAAATAAATATCTTAAAGCATTCAAACGTGAAAAAATTCAAACTTTTTGTAAACATTTTATAAATATATCGACTTTGTTAAAAAAAAGGCATAATGTTACTTTTGTTCAACTGATTAAGCAAAACTTGTCTTGATCTTTTAAAAAAACTTTATAGTGATAAAATATATATTGTACATTTATATATTTTATACACTTATGCAATTGTTTTCAACAATATCTTCTTAGGTATGACACATTTATCTTCTTATGTATGACATATTTTCTTTTTATACTTCTTCCATACATTTTAATAATAATTAAAGACTAATATTATTTAGAAAAATAGTGGTGCTACCATTCTGTTTTACGACTTATAATTGTTTTTCTTTAATATGTTGTTCTGTATGACAAATTTTTTTTGGCTAAAAATGGCATGGTTCCTCTGCCCCATGCACCTTACTCGCCTGATCTCGCTCCGAGTGACTTCTTCTTATTTCCACGTATGAAAAGCGACATGAAAGGACAACTAATAGATAACATTGAAGAGGTCAAGAAAAAAACGAGGGATGAGCTGTCCGCTATGGCCAAAGATGAATATAAAAAATGTTTCGAACAGTGGAAGCACCGCTGGGACCAATGTATTAGTTGTAATGGAGAGTATTTTGAAGGGGATAAGGTCGTTCTGTGATTTTCAAAACAATATATAGTTTATAAGAAATGATTCCGGTTTTTTTTGGGTACCCCCTCGTATTCTTCTGCATAACAAACATTTTCTCTTAATATCTTTTGATACATTTTTAATAAATACTGAAGGCTAACATTATTTATAAAAATAATGCTCTTTTGCTATTGTTTTTTTTTTCAATATCTTCTTCTGTATGATAAATATTTTCTCTTTGCATTTTATATTTATAAAGAAAAACGTTTTAATATTCTGTTTTACGACTTATAATTGTTTTATTTTTTATATATCTTCTTATGTGTGGCAAATAATTTCTCTTTATATTTTTTAAATACGTTTTTAACGAGGACTACAAGGTATACCGCATAACGAGGTCGTGGTACTTACGGAAGTTAAAAATCCGGACCCCGGAGCCTGATCGACACCAAGCAGCAATCTGACAAACGTAATAACATAGTCCTTGACGAATGCTTGATACAACAGGGTGTCTAGCATACTAGCACTAAATACGCTTCCGGCGGCGAACGGTAAACGAAACATGTACGATATGTGCGAGCCTCTTTCTTTTTCCTTCTGCATGTAAAACAAAGCAACGATTATTGGGATCCGTTATTAATACGAATTACGCATGTTTACGTATTTTAAAACGGATGAGGACGTTTTACAAGGTGTCTGGTTACTATTTATTTATTTATAATCAAATGTATACCTATATAATGGATAATAGAATAATACCAGAAAGTCAGTGCGGTTTTAAACGAAAGTCAAGTATTGCGAATGCTCTTGTAAGTGTAAAAACTAATGAGTGATTTAATACATTTGGATTTTTCGAAAGCATTCGATACGGCGAACCACGACCTATTGATTTTCACGCTGAATTTCTACGGTTTTCCTCTAATTCACGGGAGCTGATTAAATGTAATTTTTCAAATCGATATCTCAAAATATATTGTGATAGCAGATGTTCGAAAGAAATTGAAATTATCTCTGGGGTGCCGCAAGGTTCCATTTTGGGGCCGTCATTTTTTTTTATTTACAGTTCCGACATTTTAAAATCTTTAAATTTTTGCAAAAGTTCAGGCATATGCCGACAATACTCAATTGTATTGCTGTTATGATTTTAATAGTAGCGTGGATGCAGAGGTCTTTATAAGTCAATACAGGCTTTCTTGTGTCCATAATTTAAAGCTAAACCCATCAAAATCGCATTTAATGATATTTGGAAATAAAAATACAGTTAAGCTACTTAAATAAAATAGTAATATAATGTTAGATAATATTAAACTTTCCGTTGTCGATTCAGCAGAAAATTTGGGGGTGATTACAGATCGTGATCTAAGATGTCGTGAATGTATTTCTAAAGGCATATTTCTCACTAAAAATCTTATATAGTAACAGGCATATATTAAATTTTAGATTAAGGAAACAATTATGTGAGTCACTCGTTTTCTCACATTTGAACTACTGTGATGTAGTGTATGGTTTTTTTTTATTGATAACGAGTTAAGTGCAGTATTCAAAAGTTGCAGAATGCTTGTGTTCGTTTTATTATGGGTCTTCGAAAATATGACTATGTATCTGCTGCATATCGTCAACTTAATTGGCTTAAAATGGAACAAAGAAGAGCCCTTCATTTCAACATATTGGTTATGAAAATTATCCTTAACCTCGATTCACCCATTTTGCTACGAGAGCGGTTTACTGCTAGAAGTACTATCCATTCTGTGAATGTAAGATACAGGTACAGACTAACGGTGCCACATCATCAGAGTGCCTGGTTTCGTAGATCTTTCACAAATTTTTATTCATTTAAAAAAAAGTTCATTGTTACAAATACAGTTTTCCTAATAATATGTTGCTAGTTATGTTATTAGCAAGGGATTATATTAAGTTATCAATAAGTAGTGCGCAATTTATTAATTATATAAATATAATTAGCGATTCAGTAGAGTAGCTATTTAAAGCTAGATTGCCCCGCTTTTGAGCTCTCTGTTTTCAAAAATATTAATGTTGTATATTGTTTTCTTATATATATATATATATATATATATATATATATATATATATATATATATATATATATATATATATATATATATATATATATATATATATATATATATATATATATATATATATCCGGGGTTATAGCGTCCTGCGCCTTCCGGTTCCCAGTCTCCATTCTCGGCGGTCATTCCAGTCACCTGGTCTCAAATTTCGTTCTGACATGGCTCGTTCTATACCTTCTTCCCACGTTATTTTAGGTCTTCCCCGTTTTCTATTTTCTCGAGGCCTCCAACTCATCATTTTCTTAGGTATTCTTCAGTCATCCATCCTTTGGACATGGCCAAACCATCTTAATTCGTTAATTGTTCTCTCTACTTTCATGATCTCTCTTACTCTTTTGTTGGTGATTCTATCTAGATATTCCAGCTGATCTTCTCCAAAAGTCCATTTCGATGGTATCTTTACTTACGTTTTTCGACCATAAAACAGGGTTTAAAGCTGAAATAATTTGTTTTCCTTTTATAAGCCTATTTTCTATCTCTCTCTCAGTCCGTCCGCTATGATTCATCACTGTTTTTTTGTTGCCGTTTTCTAGGTCTAGTTCCTGTTGTACTCTACCGATATTAAGATATTTTGTCTTCTTTAAGTTCACTGACAGTCCCCATTTTTCATATTGTTCAATAAGCATTCTTGCCATATATTCTAGATCTTCCTTGTCCTGGGCTATAATCAACTGGTCGTCTGCAAAATGTAGTGTGTATAGGGTGGTTGTGTCATCTATCTCTATTCCCATGCCCTGGCAGCTCCTTCTCCAATATCTCAAAACTTCGTTGAGATATATTTTGGACAGTGTCGGGGACAGACAACATCCTTGTCGCAGGCCCCTCTTTGCCTATTTTAACGTTTGATGTACTGTCTCTATACATTTCCTTTATGGCTTCTGTTATTGTTGGTGTCAATGGATGATTTCATCAGTACTTTCCAGAGTTTGTTTATAGGTACCGTATCGAATGCGTTGGTTAGATCTAGAAATAGAAGGTGAGTTTCTCTATTTGTGGCAGTTTTCTTTTCCGTCAACTGATTTAAACTAAAAATATTGTCAATGCATGTTCTGCCTGCTCTGAATCCTGCCTGCTGTTCAATTTCAGATGGTTCATATCCCTTCCTTTTCTATAATATTTCGAAGGACTTTTCCATACAATCGACTAATGGAGCTTGTTACGAATATGCACCTATAGATTTCGCATAGATCCTTCCTGCCTTTTTTATGTATCGGTGATATCCATGCCATTTTCCATTTTGCTGGTACTGTTTGGCCATTAATGTATTTTTCGAAAAGAAGTGTCAGCAAACCTATGAGACTATTCGAAGCATATTTCAACAATTCTGCAAGTATACCTTCTGGGCCGCTGGCTCTATTATTCTTCATAGTTTTAATGGCACCTGTCACCATATCTGACTGTATTGTGATGTATGTACCTACCACTTTGCACACTGTTGGAGATCTTGAAAGATATTTGTAGCGATGTTCTGTTAATTCCCGTTGGTAATGTTGTCTCCATGTTTTTATATAAGAGGTAATGGTGTGAGTTGGCGGTGGTCCGATTTCAGATTCTTAATCACTCTCCACACCTCTGACGATTCACTTCTTCCAAGGTGCGCGTTAATTTCCGAACATTTCCTTTTCTGTTCTTCCTTATATCCATTTTTATCTGTGTCAGATTTTGTGTTTAACCATTTTTCGTACGCTTTCTGTTTACTTCGTTTTTGTTTCTCCATATTCTCATTCCATGTAAGTTCATTGTTTTTTTCTTGTTTTTGGTTCTTGACAACCTAATACTTCCTTCGCTGCTGAGTGAATTGCATTTTTCATTTTAGTGTAAATTTCATTTATTTCGTTGTCTGGATTTATTTTATTTAGTTTTGCCTCCAATATTGTTTTCTTTTTGTTATAATAAAGGCTATTTATTATTATTATTATTATTTAAGGTAATACTTAGGTAAAATCCAGTTATAGAATATAATAGCTTAAAATCAAAAAGACCATCAGCAACCATCATCACCTAACATAACATAATAATGAATTTTCCTATATTTTCAGTAAAATATAAAATATAAATATTAAAATTTACGCCACCACAACGGTTCCCGTGTGTGGTATGCCTAGAGCTTCGAAAATCGTCAATGATAACTTCCATATCATCATGATATATGATATATGATGAAGTCATTAGTATGGCGAGACCACATAACGAAGGCTTATTCTAAATTTGGTCTCATGACTACAATGAACAATAAACTAGTATATCTTGTAAGCTGAATCCACTATTCAAACGTTAGTTCTTTGGTTTGCAAAAGTGCAGGTCTACTTAGGGAGATTTTGTTTTAATCAGAAGGTCCTAACAGTACCTTTTTGGGAGTTACAAGTTATCTGACAAAACCTTTGAACGATTTTTTATACTATACTATACCATAAAGTTTAAGTTTGTTGACACTAATGACTTTTGCTATATCGTTAAGGTCCAAAGTTAGAACCTTGTGGGACATCATACGTTACGTTAAAATGGACAAAATCATTGACTGAGAGGTACCGAGTTCGACAATCTACATTTTTATATCTATAATATCTATATAATATACAATGAGATATATTTTACCGTGTATAATATTTTTAAATGTTTTTTTTTATTTATATTTTCCAAAAAATATTCGTTTTTACTATTAAAAAAATATATTCTCTTTTCATATTTTCTTAAAATATTTTGGCCTGTATCTGTAGATATATTTTCGAAATTATGTTTCAGAGATCCTGTAGTTTTCAATATATTTTCCAACGTCTATTAAAAAAATATTTTACTAGGACTCCTATGCTTTGGAAAATGTTGTTTTAGAGACCTGGTAGTTTTAAGCATGTTTTCCTCTAATATTTTCAGCTGAAAATTTAAAAATATTTCTCTATTTACAGTTTAATTGTAGATATCTTCTAGAAACTTTAATACACAATACGTGCGTGATAAACTTTCAACAGAAAATGGACGACATTGTTGCAAGATTCTCAATGTTATTGCATATTTAATCTAAATAAAAATAATAAAAAAAAATAAAATCGGGAGTAGGGGAGGTAGGGTTATAAGTGATAGAAACAATAAAAAAAATAGTTACATTGCTACGGACCAATCAGGAAAGATAGAAAATATTGACAGCGATATCCTATTGAGTTTAGGCCGCGCCTACATTTAATTTTGTTCCCAATGGTTCGGTTTCCCACACATTGATACGCCATGCGGTTTTAACGAGGTAATTAATATTGAGTACTGATATTGATTATCTGACACCTTGTAAAACGATCGTCTATTAAACTGTACTTAAATTTCAAAATTCAAGATGGAATTGTTCCGCATTTCACGATTGTGTAAAGGAAATGCATTAAAAGAATCTACCAACTACGTATTTTTTTTTGAAATAACACACCGCTTCATTCGAATTCCAGAGATACCGTTCTAAGCTGTGTTCATAAGAGTGTTGCGGAAAAAATAAGCCAAAATAATAAAAAATTACGACAAATTTTAAAAATATATTTATAAATTTATTTATTTAAGAACTTGATTCAAACCAAAAATCAATTTCAAAAGTTGTTGCTTCATAAAAAACACGCATTTACATTTTTTAGTGTTTTATCATTTATATATCATTTGAATTGGTTGTAACTTTGTTGTTTTTAGAGGTAAAGGTAAACACGAAAACAAAATGTAGGGTTAGTGTTCAAGTTTTTTCCAAGTGACGTATAAAACACTCTTTGAATTTATATAAAAATTTCCAATTTTTGCCCATTTGTCAAAAACGAGTGTACTAAAATATAAAGTGTAATCGAAATAAAATATTTTATTAAATACATATATAATATCCATGAAAAAAAAAGTGATGTAGGTTTATATGTGAGAAAATTGTTTTATTTATTGTTTTATATGTCACTTGAAAAAAAAACTTGGCTACTAACCCTACATTTTGTTTTTTTGTTTACCTTGATCTCTCTAGAAACAAAAAAGTTACAGAAAATTAAAACGTTATATAGATAAATGGAATGCACGGTACATTACAAACCCAGGGGCAGTGAACGGTATCTCGAGTAACTACAACTAGAAGCTAAAATAATAATAATAAATGAAAAATGGCTTACTTCAATAATATCGATTATCGATAATTCATTGTGGGAGAAAGTTACCTTTTCCATTTTCGACAGGTGAAGGGCGTATTTGTCGTGCGCCCTGAACTGCATAAAACGCATGTTCGAAGACTGAGACAGTTCCGTTATGCTTTTTATGCTCGGAAAAAATCTGAAAATTAAATTGGACGTTAAGCGAATTTATATTAAAAATCTGCATTTTTCATTTAAACCGGAACCCGTTGTCATAAACATTTTTTTTAAGCTGGGTTCTAATATGGTCTCAACAATTCGCAGCACATAGAGTTTCATGAATTTTTATTATTTATTATGAATTAATTTTTTTTTCAATACCGTTCTCACATTTTGATCAAATTAAGTGAAAAATAGCCTGGCAGAATCTTTACGGCAGGTTAAAATGTGAAGCTCGGTAGTTTATTAACTCTTTCTGATAGAAGAGAGACCAAGTCTCACGAAGAAACCATAGCCACCTTTTTGAGGTATACTTCCCGAGCTCGGAAGTCACAAATAAGGAGGAACGGAATCTTTAAGGTCTACTAGCCTATCATCCTTCTTGCTTAAAACGCTGGAAAGATTGGTTGACAAATATGTAAGAGACCATGCACTGACACAAAAGCCGTTACATCGCTCTCAACATGAATACCAAGCCGGGAGATCTGTGGAAACGGCTCTCCACGATGTAGTAAAATACACCGAAGGGGCCTCCGCAGTAAAAGAACGGCTTTGGGTGTGTTCATCGATATTGAAGGGGCCTTTGACAATACTCCCTTTGACTCTATTTGCGAAGCAGTATAGAAAACTCTATAACAAAGTGGACCCATTTCATGCTAAGCAATAGAACGGTGACCACAGAGCTTAACGTAAACGTGAAGGCCTATGTGAGGAGAGGCTGTCCACTATCTTCTCCACTCATGTGGATCATGGCCATCGATGGACTTCTGGTGAAGTTGGAAAGGCTAGGAGTGTTCGTCGTCGGCTACGCAGACGATGTGGCTCTACTAATCAAAAGCAACAACCCAGAAGAAATGAGAAGGAAGATGCAACGTGCTCTGGATCTTATTGAGGAACGGTGCATATCGAGATCCTTTAAGGTTAATCCCAACAAGACTGAGATGGTGCTCTTCACAAAGAGAGACAAGTTAACGGTTGTACCTCCCATGTATATTCAACACAGTATTAAGTTTCTCCAGAGAGATGCGTTACTTAGGCGTCACTCTGGTTAGCAAACTTAACTGAAGCATACACAACAAGTTCAGAAGGCTACTGCCACCTTCTGGGCTTGTAGAAGAATGTTTGGGCACCTTACGCTTCGATCGTTTGGTGGATAGCACTGAATAGGCGAACCAACATCAAAGCATTAAACAGAGTCTATAGACTTGCGATGTTGGGTATAACTGGGACTATGAATCTACGCCCACCCTGGCTATGGGAGCTATACTAAATGTTAAGTCCCCATCTCTATATCTCGGCGGAAAAAACTGCCATGAGGCTGCACTTTAATGGCTTGTGGAGGAAGGCGGTTTATGGACTACACGCAGACATACTTAGGGACAAGGATCTGCTCCAGGTTCTGACCCTGGGTGGTGATCGCAGCTCAAGGATGATTCGAGATTGCATTGAGATGCTTGACAGGCTTGATAAGGCAAATAACGCCACACTCGTCTGGGTCCCGGGATACTGTGGAATTCCAGAGAACGAGAGGACAGATAGGCTAGCAAAAAGTGGAGCCATTTGACCAGAGATCTAGCAATAGATTTCTTGATATGTGGCTTGAAGCTGAAGGTATGAGACACACTAAAGCCCTCTTTCAGAGGCCGTCCAGGACTCTGGAGCTGAGGTTGACTATTATGCTGATAACTGGACATTGGTCAACAAGAAAGCATCTTAGGAACATTGGCATCGTACAAGATGTATTACGTCCAAGATGCAGCGCAGCGGATGAAACTCCACTGTGAACCACTCAGCAAACTCCGAAAGGAAATTCTGGGAGTGGACACAAGAAATGGTATCAACATTCTGGAAATGGGTGTTGGAAGTGATGAAATTTGTCAATAATTGGTTCCAGCTTTCACAGAAGGGTTGACTATATAAACACAAAATTAACAAACAAATCTTACAGTTATCCTTCCACTTATTAAATTAAAAAAAAGTGAAGTAATTAACCTAATAAAAATTATTTAAAATAATATCATATAGTCCATTAGTATAATTTTTGTTTAATATTGTTCATAGAGGCAAAAAATTATAATTATAATTCAATAAAATCACATTAACACAAAGTCTAACTCAATTTACTAATACCAAGTGTTATTTTTTCTTCTAGCGTTACTATTTTTATTTTGTTAATTCTGCGCTTCTCTATTTCATTTATTTATGTATATGCATGTATAAACTTAAATTTTAACTACTTTTTGTGCCACAAAAGATGGTTTAAAAAATTTAAATTATAAAAAGAACTTTGAGAAAAATATATAGTCGTAAAAATATTAATGTCTGAGATAGGGAAATTCCATTTTTAAAGAAACGTCCACAGGATACTGTAATACTTTTTACAAAACTTTGTAATTGCTGAAGTTTCGACAATCATCCTGTTGGCTTCTTCAGAGCTTGACTGAAACTGTAGAAGCCAACTGAAGAAGCTAACAGGATGATTGGCGAAACGTCAGCAATTTCGACGCAGGAGGAATCCAGAAGTTTTGCAAAAAGTAAGGAAATTCCTGTATGTCAACTGACTACTTACTTGAACATAGTTTGCACAGCTACGATGGTGTTGCAGTCGGCCAAAGTATCTTCTTCCGCGGAATTTGACAGTTCTTTGTTGACTACCACCACATTTTCCGCCAGCGTTATACCGGCTCGTAGCAAATCGTCCAAACTATAAGAGTCAGCAAATTCAAGACATTCTATTTTCCTAGATACTTTTTTTTTCATTTTTTCATTTTTTTAGACGTACAAAGAAAAAATTGTTAGATCAAATAAAAATGGAAATAAAAATTACAAATCATATGTTTTATTATTTGTGAAAAATACAATTTTGGAGAAACATTTATCAACCACCTGATCAAGGATCTCTAAACTGATGTTATTTACATGAGGCAAAATAAATAAAAATAAAACTAAATCCAACAAAAAGAATGCCAAAAAAATAAATTTTAAAAGTAAATAATTATGCAAATCGTCAAATTGAGGAAAAATGATAAAAAAGTCTATACTTTTTTTATTTATCTTATTTTTGTATGTTTCATACTATGTTTGTTTGTGTTGTTTTTGGCTCACATCCAAATATCAAACTGTCAATCTTTTGTGATTCATTAGCCATCCAATAGTATTTTAAATTAATATAATAATACACAGTATTCTTAACATTGATATTAAAAAATAAATTTCTTTTGCTTTTCAATTTTCTTCAATCTTTAGTTCGAGAACACACAAACAATACAATACAATGTAATTTGCTGTTACTAACACTATTTGTTATTCTTATAGCCAATAATAGCGTTTCTATTAGAAGTTCTGGAGACAGGTATAGAGATTTTGTAGATAAATTCTTGGGCTTAACGGTAATGTTAAATAAGTAGGGCTGTATTTAAAAAAAAAAAGTTTTTTTTTCACTCTGACTATTTTTTTTCTGAAATTTAATCCGTTTGACTTGTCATACAAGTCAAGTATTGGTTTTCAAACAAATTTATTAGCTAACCCCTGTAAAAATTTAAACAACGTACTAATATACTGAATAAATTGAATTTGCAACGTTGCAGGTGCGTACATACTTGGCGCACTATGGCAAAAAAACCCTATTTAGTCCTCCAGAACTTCTAATGTTGGCGGTAAATGAATGTTTTTCATTGTATTCAGCGTAAACAATACCTGTCGATGGATCCCTTCATCCAATAAACGAGAGGAAAATACGATACCGCGTCCAGAAACGCGATGTCCGGCCTACGGTCCAGCAACAGTATGATGGGATTGAGTGACGTTTTGGACCTAAAATGGGCCCTCAGCGGAATGATAAAGTTGTAGATCCCATTCGAGGCGTAATCTGCCGCCAAGATTATGGTTTTGTTCTGCCACTGGTACTCTCGTGCGTTTCTGTAGCTGCAATGCTCGCACGTCTGAGCCAGTTGGAGGCAGCACAGCGGTTTTTTCTCTTTGAGGAGGTAACACAGGGTCGGACTGACGCCGATATAAGGCGACACCGGCGGGAATCCTTTCACGATGCTGCGTAGAACGAAAGAGTTTCTTATGCGCTGGTCGCTTGATATACGCGAGATTTTATTCTATACCTTCCGAACAAAAGTGCAGATTGAATATTGCGTAGGCATAGTATATTATACAATAACTTTGATGAAGGACACTTTCAGGCAAGACGCAGATAGCAAAACTACCTGCGCCGATAATACTCGAAAAACATTTCTTTGTTTTATAATGTTAAAGGTTACTTTCTTCTTCTTTTCTTCAGTTGGGCACGACTACAATGACCATTCGCCCATTTCCGACGGTCTAAGAACCTAACGCGAAATGTTTTGGTTACTCTTGGGCGTTTGCTGTTATAAACCAGTGTCCCTTCACCTTTTATTACATCATTTGTTTAAAATATATTTTATTACATGCCTTTTTTTATTGTATTCTGTTTTTCGTCTATAGCTGACAGCAATACGACGACGTAGTTTTATATTTTATATTTTATCCTTCTTACAAGTGAAGAGACCTCCTTTTGTGAACTTTCACACGTAATTTCATTGAAAAAAATGAAGTTTGCAAATGATTTTCAGGGACACTGCTTAAAACGCTAATCTTTTTTTTTATGAAGGAATTTACATCAATTTTTTATGAAGGTATTTACGTCTTAAGTATACACTTTTGAGAACCTGCAGTTTACATCCTTGGGTGCAGAATTTACTAGAAAACCAAATCTAAAACACAAAATTCAAAGCACGTAATTGAAAGGAAACAAATGCAATAGCACAATTTTGAAAGGAGAGAATAGAATTGGTGGAAGGGGGAGGAAAGGGAAGAAAGACGTAAATGAACTAGGGCTTAACAACTGGAGAGGAAAGGCAGAAGACGGAAAAGAATATAGAAACAAGCCTATATGCACTTTCAATTAATATTAAATACCTTGGAAATGTATAAAACTTACAATTATACACGTACACTATTGCTCTTACAATAAAATTTAAGGTGATACTTATAGTTGTATTCGCTACCAAAAAAGTATTTATAAAAACCTTGTTAACCGTTACATAACCGAAAGTAACCGGAAGACCAATTGAAAACTGCCCAAATGTCAAAGTCAAGTGTTAAATGCCCGTTTTGACGTCATAACCCTACTTTTCAGTTTTTGTTTATTTATTTGTTCTTAAAAGTGTTTTTTAAAAATAAATATCTAGAGAAAGTATAGAAATAAACTAAACGTGGATTGTAAAATTGTATAAACGAAAGTTGGGAGAACAGTTTCATCCTTGACGGTCGTTCCAAGCGGAGGTTTCATAGTAGCTGCAGAATATTTGTTAGATATTTCTAGACTTCTAGACAACTTCAAAAGTGTTATAACAAGGTTTTTGGGAACGTTATAAAACCTTTTGAAAAAGCCTAAAGCCACCAAAACCAAAAGCAAACTTGAAGTGTTCTGCTACTGTTTTTACGTCTTAAAAAACTTAAAACACCAATTGCTTTCTTAAAAACTAGCGTCTCTTATATATATCTGTTACCTTATAGTATTAGGTACACATTGTGTAGAGAAGAGCTTTGAAATAAAGTAATAAGTATGTTATAGAATGACAATGTCAAAAGATATAGCGCAGACTCGGAGGCCTATACTTTTATATTGTTCCATTTGTCCCCAAAGTGTCGTTTATCAAATTCATTATCTAATATACTATTTTAGAGGCTTGTAGCCTTTTTTGGCATTGACACTGTTGTTCCCAAAATATTTATTTCGACTGACGGGAATATTTTTTAATCGAATGGTCGTTTCATACTCTCGCCCCCATGTGATACGTGATACTCCTATTCTGTATGCGTGTATGATTGATTTAATATGACCTTCAAATTTGGCGAAAATACTTTCCCCCTTTAATATTAATTATTTTAATTATTAATTATTTTAGTTATTAATATGGTGCTACTGTTTCGTATGACGCGGTGATTTTATATAGGAAGCGACTAAAAAAGAAAAAATAAGAACGACAGAATGAAATAAAAAAATGAACGATCGTGCAGTGACGACTAAGCGGTAACGCACAGGGTGCATCACATCATTTAGTCGAATCAAAAGGGAGACTTACCTAATGCATTCGTCATGCCATGCTAGTCTTTCCGAATCCAGGGAATCGTCACTTAGACTGGACCTAAAGGAGTGCAAGGTTTCGACAGAGTGATAAGAGAGAGAAAAAAATAACTAACTCGTTAGTGCGTAGAACAAACGTGCTTGGGAACGAGCCACATTTTCCGAAAAACACCAAAAAAAAAAAGACGCCTTAACGACGTTTTTGATTGAATAAAAGCAGCTACGCGAGAAAGACAATAAAGGATCGAGATAGGAGTTCAGATTTTTTTAAAAAAGGTTTCTTCTTTTATCGCAACCTCTACAATATTCAGATTTATATTATTTTATATTTTATAAGAATTTTATATTATTTTTCTCCCAAGTCGGGTCCCCATAATGTACAGTGTATCCATCGTTGTGCTGGATATCTGACTTTCTATTAGAAATAGAGAAAAATATGTTTTTCAAATACTTTTGAGAAACTTTGACCTTTTCAATTACCCTTTGTACTTAAAATGCTTTGCATAGTAGAATGCGAATGGAATTTACATTATTTATAAATCTGTTTACGTAGAATGCAATGGCGTACTTAGATTTTTTTCAAAAAATATGATATTTAAATATGAGCTAAGGTAACGTTTTTTTTTTTAATGGAAAGAGAATTAATGAAACATAAAAAAATTTGATATGGTATTTTTAATGTTATTGTAAAGAAAATCACAAACTGCAGAATACCAAAAATATACAAAAACATTTAACCATAAAGACTGTAAAAATTGTTTTGAAGACGTAAATTTAGAGCAGCGTGTAAAACATATTGTGCGTGTCTTTGAGCAGCAATAAAGTAATTTGGAACACTTTTATTTTTAAATCTAGGCAAGCAAATGAACAAGTGTAAATTTATACATTTTTTTGCATATTCCCTAACTATTTTTGTTTCATCTACACTTACTTACACTTTATAAAAAAAGAATTAGTACGCCACTGAATCCTGAGTTTTACATTCTAGATAATTATGTTCGTAAATATGCGAAAAATGTCTGGCAGATGGTCGAGATCAGTTTATACAGTCCTTTTAAAGATTACTGTATTTTGTATTCTATTTTTGTTTGATTTGGTTTAAGTAAAATTAAGACAAATGACATTTTATAAAATGTCAAAATACATGTTTACAAAATTTTACTTTTTCGAAAAGCGTATAAAAATAGGAATCTAATAAAGAATATATATATATATATATATATATATATATATATATATATATATATATATATATATATATATATATATATATATATATATATATATATATATATATATATATATATATATATATATATATATATATATATATATATATATATATATATATATATGATGACAAAAAATCTACTTCTAATTAAAAAAATGCAAAAAACAACGACCGGTGGTGTTTTTAATTTTCAGTCGAACTAAAAGTTAACTTTGCAAAATTCGCTAGAAATTCTCAATTAAATTGAAAGGTTCGCGGGACCTTTTTGTGACAATGGAAAATACGCCGTGTGGACTAGGAGCGAGTTTTACTATTTCCCATTTAAAATCGCTGCCAACGTTCAAATTGAAACGGGGGTGGGTTGTAGTGGGGGGATCGGCCAGCCCCACTGGCTGTGAAATGTGAATACGTATATTAAAGCGATACAGCTACACGCAAAAGTAGTGACCGAATATCGTATTTTATATTAAATCGTAGTCAAAATACACAAGCTATATACGGTGCATGCGATATTTCTACCGAGAGGATCTGTCGGATTTGAAATGCGTTTAATTTAATCCCGAATAAATACATCCGGGCTATTGGCCATAATCTTAAAGTTGTGCCCTTAGTTGCGAAATTAAGTGATGTTTAAAAAGCAATATATATGGAAATATTTAAAATACATATTTTTTATGTGTGCCAATGTATTTTTTTTATTCATTATATTCAATTATGATGAAGGCTTAAACTTAAGCTCAAAAGTTGTTTGGATGCACTTATACGTTCTAAATATTATATAAACGAGATTGTTTTCGAAAAATCGTCACTGAGCGGGTCAAGTTCGCTATCAGCTATCTCTTGTCAAAAATGATTGTATTTGACGGACGACTATGGAACTTGCGCAAAATAGATGTAATTATATTGTGTACACACCCTATATAGAGCGTCACGACAAATATGATGATAAATATAAAAAAATGTACAAGTATCAACGATTTTCAATTATATTATTCCAAGTATATCGCGCACCCTGTATGATAGACGAAACTTGAAATTTCCTTTCTCTCTCGACACAATATTGGAGACTGTTTAAACCAAATTATCCTATGTCTTATAGTTTTTCAATCACGGCTAATAATTTATCCACGAAAATGGCAATTTTCAGCGTCTTTTAGATTTTTTAACCATAATCGACACGACATATTGGAAAAAAAATTCGGACATTGAGGTTATAGCAGTGGATCTACGACGTTTCCTAGTTCAAAGATTTTTCCGAAACCATGCAGTGCGCCATGACAGCCCCCGACCAGTGTGTATGATAGGCGAAAACCGCAAATACAAAAATTGTAGCCCTTGATGCGGCTTATGACACTGTTTGAAAAGTTTACGCAGCCAAATCCTTCTCGTATGCTCGCTCAAGAATTTTTTTGGTTCTAAAAACAGTTTTCGAGAAATGATCTTTCCCTAAGACTCTTGCAAACACAGTTTTTAATTATTTTAAAAAACTTCCCGCCTTTAACAATACACTTAAGTCATAATGAAGCAGTATTGCAGTATTAACGTTGGGTAATAGTGAATTATGTTACAAGTGTGGTAAACAGTATTTGAGCCACGAGTTTTTAACACAAAACTGACTTAAAAAGTTTACCATTCAATACCTACATCTAATAGATATTTCACAACATCAGGGGTGCCACGGGGTTCTAACTTAGGACCATTACTATTTATAATTTTTATTAATGACGTGGTTTCAAATCTCAATGATAGGCAGAATATGTTATTTGCGGATGACTTAAAAATTTACACTTCCAGTATTGCTGATTGTGCAGAGATCAGTTGATATTCCCTTTGACCGGTGTATCTCAAATGAATTTAGTCTTAACGTAGTTAAATGCAAAGTTCTAAGCTTCACTGGTAATGAAGAAACTATCGATTTTCAATATAGGATCTCAAATATTGTTCTCCAACGTGTTACAGATATTACAGACCTAGGCGTGCATTTCGATCAAAGACTTACATTCGTGAACCACATAACAAGCATTGTATCTGAGGCTAACCGTAATTATGGTTATTTTTGTACCCAACTGCAATTATTTTAATGACATTGCTGCTTTGAAGGACCTGTATTTTAGCTATGTTCGATCTAAGCTTGAATACGGCCCAGTTGTATGGAATCCGATTTACTCTTGTCGTAGTTGGGCGGTCGATGGTGTACAGAAAAAGTTTTTGAAATATCTGTTGTTCAAAACAGAAGGGAGTATCCACCGAGAGGCATAAACTACGAATTTTACTTGGAAAAATTTAATATGAATAGTTTATAAATTGCTACACAACATTATGCTCGGGCAAAAACAAACCTACTAAAAAAATTCGCCTATAAATATCGCATGTTCCAATTGTAATTGTGTTTTGGCTGTGTGTGACATATTTAACTGTGGACTGAGGGAATTGCTAATATTATTATTAGTATTGTTATTATTATTATTATTATTATTATTATTATCATTATTATTATTATTACTATTATTATTAATATTGTGCAAATTAATTTTCTCACCTCTGTTTCAATAGACTCTCACCCCGAGAAAAAATATGACGGGCCTGTTCAATTTGGTTTTGTTTATATGTTCAGAAGATTGGTGAAAAAAAAAATATACAACTTTTACATAGAAAGTTTTCTATTCAACTCTTTCAATTAACTTTGTAGGTGGCTGTTAAAATATTAATATAAACCCAGAACATTATTTCTAATTTTTATTCTGTTAAAATATAAGTCTTTTCATTTTACATCTTTAGTACACTAATTCCAATTTTGGTGAATGGACAACAACTGGTCAAACCCAATTTTCTTGTAAACCAAATGAGGTTTCATTACTCCAACAACTACTACTACAACAATGATTTCGGATTGTACAGTTTCTCGAATAAACAGATCTGCTGTAAAAAAATCTATTGCAATATTTTTTTCTAGGACAGAGATACAGTTTGATTGTTCGCTTTTTATCATTCTAACAATCCCGTCTTCTGTCAAATGATGTCACCTTTCTAGAGTATAATATCCCAGCTGATTAAAATAAGCGGAAAAAGAAGAAAAGCAACTTTATGCATGCCAAAGTTTCCGATAAGGCGATACGTTCGTTGCGATATAACTTGTAAACGCATTTCAAATCCGCTATGCCAGAAGTTATACAACGAAATGGGTCGGACGGAACACTACGGGGCGCGTCATCGTCTCGAAGCACTTACGCTATCTTTTCGCTAGGCGATCTCCAGGGAACGTCGTCTTCTAGCTCGTCCTCGCTTTCGTCCACTTCGTCCGTGACGTCTTGCGATATGTTGATCGTGCTGCCGGTAAACATGTCCGGAACCTACGGGATAAGGTCAAACCAAAAAGAATACCGGGTAATAATAAATCACTACCTATACATATACGGCGTTGAAATTTCAAATTAACTATACTAAGTTTCTTAATACGAGAGAGTACTAAAATCATTAAACAGGGCGGACAAAAACCATGGATAAAAAATAACTTAAATTATATTACACAAACATTTGTTTTCATTTCAATATTTCTATTGTATAATTATTTTGCTTGTATATTTACTTTAAGAGTGTGTTAACTATTTTTAAGCATAAAAAAAAGAACTAGAACTATTAATAAATCCAGAATTTATATATGTATGTTACTCAGAAAATCTTTTAACTATTCCACTGAACAAAATGAGTCAAAAATTTATGCGCGATATTTTCAAAGGTAAATGTATATGTATACTATAAATCAAACCAAACCAAAAGCTAACTTTAACAGGTTTTTAATGGATTATTGTTAATGCTAGTTGAAACGTCAAAATTTGCACCGACATAGTAACAATCTGTTACGTTATAGTGGATCTGAATCGAGCATTCTCTATTTTATCTGCAATTATGTTTGAAAACGGAGGGAAATAATATGGATGCTGACAATAAGAAGAATCGTCCCTAACCAAAAACAGAGTACATTTATAGATAAGCAACGTCATACACGTTAAGCAATTAAAATTCTTGTCGCTAGATGAGTTACATTCATGCAAAAAAAACCAACTCCAGAGGACCATCTAACTTTAAATAAAACAAGATTTTTTTTTACATGTCCTTCATAAACTATCATTATTGATAACCGGACCAAATATCATCGGTTATCGACTCTCTTGTTTATGAAGCCGCAAAACGATCTCAACCCGAATCACTAAATCCAGGATTAAAACTCTGGTTGGCGCAATGTAAGCAAGTTTGACTTATCAATAACCGACGTGGAAGTTTCTTTGAAAAATTTTGTGTTCTTAAAATTGTTAATGTGGGGATTGTATTTTAATCGTTATTATTTGCCCGACAGTTTCCTTTCTTAAAACTGAATTGAAATTTTTATTGAGATCAACACAAAAAGGGCAACAAGGAAAACTGCGACAACTATCGAGGTATCGCAATGACGAGCTCAATCGGTCGGATTTACGGTAAAATATTAAAGGCCAAAATAGAAAGCGAATACACAAACAGTGAAGCCGAAGAACAAGCGGACTTCCGCGCCTGAAGATCCGTCGTTGACCATTTGTTTTGCGTCACCCAGCTTATCGAGAAAATGTCAGCCTTCAATAAGGAGATACATCTCCTGTTCGTGGATCTGAAGAAGGCATACCGCTAACAAAACTTTGGGAGGCATTAGACAAGACAAACCTAAGCGTCAACATAATAAGATCAGTGAAAGAACTATATAGAAACTGCCACATTAAAATCAAGGTCGGCCAAAAAATATCCAATGGATTTACACCCAACAAGGGACTCAAACAAGGGTGTTCTGTATCTCTCACCCTGTTCAAGATATATCTTGAACAAGCGTTAAGGATATGGAAGCAAAAATGCAGAAATATAGGCATTCCCCTTAACAATGCAAACATATACACCCTAAGCTTCGCAGATGACCAAGTCATAATGGCGCAAGACTACGATGATGTAGAATACATGATGCGCAAACTGATCGAAGAATACAAGAAATGGGGGTTGGAAGTAAACTTATCAAAGTATATGTGTATCGGTGGAGCACAACGCGACCTCCTCTTAGAGGATGGTCAGGCTATCAAAAGCTGCGAAACCTACAAATACCTGGGAATGTACATATGCAGCGGTGGGACGTTAGACTACGCCATCAAAGAACGAAGTAATCAAGGCAGAAAGGCCATTACTATGCTGAACACCTCTTGTGGGACCAAAAAATCACGAGACGAAACAAACATCTAATTTACAATACGAACATTAAAAGCATAGTCACATACAGCAGTGAAGTCTGGCCACTAAGAGAAAGAACCATGAGAACGCTGGAGGCAACAGAGATGGACTTTTGGAGAAGAGCGGCAGGAAGGTCAAGAACTGAAAGAGTCCCAAACGAAGCAATTCGCACAACCATGAAGGTATATATATATATATATATATATATATATATATATATATATATATATATATATATATATATTCTCACGTATTGATTCACGGATGGAAAAATGTGATGACACTATATTCCGGGATATCATCCGTTCGCTCGTTGAACTCCGACTGGAATCCTGCATCCGACTGGAATCCTGCAAATCTTGCATCCGACTGGAATCCTGCAGACGTTTCGCCAAAATCTCACTTGGCATCTTCAATGCTCGCGCTCCGAAAACACTTCGAACACTCACACCAGTGTTCGAAGTGTTTTCGGAGCGCGAGCATTGAAGATGCCAAGTGAGATTTTGGCGAAACGTCTGCAGGATTCCAGTCGGATGCAAGATTTGCAGGATTCCAGTCGGATGCAGGATTCCAGTCGGAGTTCAACGAGCGAACGGATGATATCCCGGAATATAGTGTCATCATATATATATATATATATATATATATATATATATATATATATATATATATATATATATATATATATATATATATATATATATATATATATATTGTTAAAATTAACTTGAAATTTAAACTTTTTATTGAGATAAACAGAATAATTATTAAAGTGACAGTCGGAAGCATGCAGATTGTGGAAAAATATCTAATAAGATATATACAAAGCACTTAAAACTGTGCAAAGTCAATTTTAGAAAATTATTTGAATAAATAATAGCTGATGCGCATGCAGAAAATAAAAATTGCAGCGATTATATTGAAAGCTGACAAGTGGGTAACGGGGTTTACTAATTAAATTTTATTGACTGAATTGACATTTCATAAAACCCTCGTAAGAGTGGGACACGTATAGGATTCCGGTAAACGGTGTTAGGGGACTTACCGGTAGGATACTCGGCCTACGGGAATTTCGTCTCTGGTTTATTATTTCGGGGCTTAACAGGTTCGGATTGTCTCCGCCCCTGGGAATATCGAGATGATTGCCAGTCACCTCGAACGTAACGGACCCCGGCGAAGACGACTCCTTCAGGCAGTGTTTCGAATCGTTCGTACCGACGGTGTCGGGAAATTTCGCTATAAATAGATAAAGGCGGTGGAAGATGGCGCGTTAATTCGATTATCCGCGACGTTTCGTCGATACAGCGGAACGCTAGAGCGAGGTCTAGCAATTAGCGCCTATTTTTTTTTTAAATATAAAAAGCAATTTTCATAGTCGCCATCATCGCGACGCTGATTTGACTGGACCAGATGATACGCTGAGGACATTTGAGTTACCTACTTGTTTGGCTCTTTTTTTCAATACAATAACGCCAACGTTCATCGACTAAAACTACATATAAACGTGGGTACGAAACGAAAGTCAGTTTTGTAATTTGTTAAATATTTTTTGTTGAAATTTACCAAAAGATGTACGTCGCTGACATTTTACAATTTGGGTACAACTTTTTTGACTTTTGAGTTGTTTTCGTATCTTGCCTCGTTCTGAGACGACAAAATAAAAATCATGAAAGTTGATAAAACACGGTGTTACGAACATTTGTGTTTTGGACATTTGATTTGATGAGAACATGATCTTAATAGCATTATATCATAAAACCCAGGGACATACGTTTATATGAAATTTGTCCTTTTTTTTCATTCATTTTAGAAGAACTGAAAAGAAACATTCCAAAACAAAGAGGTCAGATCTAAAGTAGTCTATCAATCAAAGAGATGAACCTAGATATACCTCTATATTGAAGGAGAGTACTAGGTTAGTGTGACAAATAAAATTAATTTAGTGGAAAGAAGAAAAAAAAAAACGATTGACAAATAAATTACCAGCTTGGGCTATAAACCGTTTCGGTTAAATTAGCATTAAATAATAGTGAATAGTGAAATATACGACAAGTATTCCGTTTCTGTTTAATTTTTACATATTTATGGAGGAAATCCGTGGGCTTATTCATTTTAATGATATTTTCAATCCACAAAAATGAGTCTAGAAACATGAAACGTACATCTGTTGTTAGTTTTTGAAACGAACATTTGTTTTATATTTTCTAGTGTTAAATAAAAAACGAAAACTAAAAGTTACAAGTACAAGAAACGCTTCTTGACAAAAAAGTTGCCAAATTTGCACTTTTTAAGCTTCTCATTCATGCTTTTTAGTTTAAACCATGTTCCATTAACCTCAACGCACCATCTGTCATCAATATTTTCTAACTTTAGTGCAGCGACTCAACAATAAAAGCGATTTAAACACAATTGACAAATTATGGAAGTACTTCGTTGATGGTGATCGATGTGCCTCAAATTTTATATTCTGTCCAAAAAGCAATATGGTGGTTCAACAACGGACGCAAATACGACGTATAGAACAAAAACAAAAACGACATATAGCAGTGAAAGTTTAAAACACAAAGTCAGTGATATGTTAACCTAATAATATTATGAAAACAGATGGTTCTATTTGTACCTTTCGACTAGATATCAATGCATAAATAAAAACAAAAACTTCAGGACGTATTATTATTAATACAACTTGTGGATTCTTCTTGGGTCAATTGTTGTTGAGTGTAACTTGCTAACGTTTCGCCAATAATTCTGATGGCTTTTTCAGAGCTTAACAGAAACTGTTCAGTTAAGCTATGAAGAAGCCAAATGTTAGCTGGTTCGATTCAACAACGACGGACGCAGGTGGAATCCAGAAGTTTTGCAAATAGTATTACAGTAGCCTGTGGGAGTATCTTTGAAAAATTCATGACGCATTTTATACGTGATACTCTTACGTTACTCATCCCGTAATCTGCGCCCAAACTTCACATCGAATGAACTGGAAAAATAATAAAGAAGAAGCATGCTGCAACACAACACTCACTGACACAAGTGGGGACTTGCAGTATAAGTTGAGGTGGACTGGTACCGTCTTTAAAGTTAGGGGCGGGGCGTTTGTCCTCTTCTTTTACGGCGACGACCACCGGGTCCGTGGAGGTGTTGTTGTTAGTCTGGTGATTGGCGACGCTGAACGATGAATTTTCCTCCTTGGTGATGCTCATATAGTAACAGGTATCGCTTTTCTTCATTATATGCCGGGGGCCCGGGTTCAACAGGATCGTGTCCTCGTAAAATTCGGGAAGTTCTGCCGGTCTAACTCCGATCAAAGACACGCCGTACCTGCAAAGAAAAAAGGAAAATGAAATGCGAGTCATAATCGGAAGAATTATGAAGGATTATGGAGGAAATATTAAGTTTGTACCTGTATTACTTGTTGCTACGAGAGCTGAACGATAAAAGCAGTTGAGAGCTCGATGACCTTTGCAGAAAAAAAATGGAGGACGATTGCGCCGAATGCATCATCATAATCCGCTACTTTACTGGCGAATAAAACGGTTTATGGACACGGTTTAGGTCGTCTAAAATTTGCATTTTGGCGAACGCGGCGCAAACCGAAAATCTCGTAAATAAAATATCCGATAAGGAGCGCGTTTCGACGTTTACAATGCGTTCTGGAGTTAAGTTCGCCATAAACGGTGCCCGTTTAGTGCGCCTTTAAAATTCTAATGAAGTCGGGACGATGGTTATATCGTGGCTCAAGGCTTATCGCGACCAACTAAATTTCGTTTACAATTTAATAAAAGGCGGTCAGGCAATAGCTGGAAAATTGACTGTATTTTGTTTTCTATCTCGGTTATTACTATTTTTCTTGAAATAACGGAAGAGTGGAAGTTCACAAGGTTCGAAGTATAAGATTTAATAAAAAATCGCCATAGGAACTGAGCTAAGTTTTTCTGTCAATATGTATGTCCTAGGTGTTTATATCTCTTTCTAGATTTTTTTTCACGTAAATTATACTTACTTTCTGTGAGAATGGAAGCTGGCGTAAGTGAAACTCTTTCCCTCGTATTCGCCGAAAAATCTGCTGTCTCCTAATACGATGTGGTAAATCTCGTTGCCAGAGCACCTGCCGTAGAGGCGGTGCCATTCCTCTTGCGACTGTTGACCTTCCCTATGGATTGCGTTGGAAAAGGATTTATAAAATATTCACTCTTCATTTATAACATTCATAATAGCCTAAAACTAAACCAAGAACGGAATTACCTGATTAAATTTTCTGTCCATTTTAAAAAATATACTTTGATACTGTAGCAAAAAAAGGCAAGAGTAGCAAAGTGCACAATTGCTCTTCCATTTTCTCCTTTAGTTTTGTAAATGCCGGACTAAATGAAGAGCGTTAAAGTTTTTCGCGGTTTTTGGTTATGCGAAGGTATAATTTCCAGTTTTCTATATTTAAAATAAAAATAACATTATTATGATTATCAAATTTAAAGCTATCAATCGGAAACTTAGTTAAGGGTTAGTTAAGCGTCAATTTCAAACGTATACATTTCCATACTCGACGCCATTTCTTTTTCGCGCTTCGTCAAACATGTCGGGGCGAATTAAATTAGCCGACAAGCGTGGCGATAAAACCGGCCGTAAATCGTAAGGCAACCCCACTCACCCCCACCCCAGTCCCCTTGAAAATTAAGCCGTGTCGAGGGGGGCAACCCGGTGCGAATTTTTCACGTGAAAAAACGACTGGTGTATAAGGTAACAGCTTTTTAACACGTACAAGTTGCGGAACCATTTGTTTTGATATTCAGAAACGAAGATAAATCGCCGGTCTCCCTCTATCTCTAGTCATTAGTAGATACGATTTATGGCTGGCGTAGATTTATGTGTTGCTCATCGATTTTAAGTGGCTCACGTTTAGATTAAAAAGTCGGACCGATTTGCGTGTTGGGTAAACGTAGGCGGCTTTAATTAAAATGCGGAAAATCCAAAAATAAGATTTTTTTTTTAAATAGGCGGATATTAGGAAACACCTATATTATTTACAAATTTCCAATCATTCTGTTGGCTTTTTCAGGACAGAGTTTATTCAGAGCTTAACAGAAACTGTTCAGTTAAGCTCTGTAGGAGCCAACAGAATGATTGGCGAAACGTTAGCAAGTTTGACTCAGTAAAAACCGTTTTGTAAATAGTATTACAGTAGCCCGTGGAAGTTTCTTTGAAAAAATAAACACCAATATTAGTGTTTTTCTTTTACTCATTAATATAAATAGGAGAATAAAATGTTCTAATTGTTTGAATTCTTCGTTTAGCGACATATTCTTACTGAGATTATTTCCACAATATTACTTAGTGATCCAAAATGGAATATGTAATAATTAAACAACTTAACCTTCGAAGAACATATACATACATATATATATATATATATATATATATATATATATATATATATATATATATATATATATATATATATATATATATATATATATATATATATATATATATATATATATATATATATATATATATATATATATATATATATATATATATATATATATATATATATATATATATATATATATATATATATATATATATATATATTCGTATACTAAAAAATTCAACATTCAAAGATAAAAAAAAAGATATATACTTTTTCAGGAGGATCATTTAAAAAAAATTGGCTGCATTGCCGTTTTTTTTCTAATGATAACAAAACTAATTGCTAATTAAACAATCTGATGTGTGTCTACACTAATGATACTAAATGCTTATAGAATCAACAGCATAAGAACAAGGAAATACAAAAATAAATTTTAAACCTAATTAATCGTAACTTTGACATTTTCACCTATAAGGGCACTGTAGCATATATAATTATAATATAAGTGCCAGCCGAGTATTGGCCCTGCCCAAACATTGACGACATAAGTCAACCGAAAGTACCAAATGCCTTAGAAGCCCGGTAGTTACACTACTTATTAAAAAAAAATAGTTATCTAGGAAGTGGAGAATATGCACACTTTTCAACGATCCATCTTCCCATTAGCTTCGAGTATATTTCCGATTACGTTTGGCCGTGGTAATGGTCGTTTCCCCCATTTTAAAAGCCTCATAAATTTATCTCGTGTCCAAAAAGAGAAGCCAAAACTAATAGGCTTTGCTGATTCGAGGTTATATAACAGCCGTCTCGGGAGATACGCCTGACCAGAAAATATGTTCCGAGAAAACCTCCATTAGAAGCTACATTTTTCGGTATATTCTTTATTAGGCACTGCATGAGAGTATTTATGTTTTTTGCATCTTCTTTTATGCTGTCGTTGTCGTGTCCATTTGATTATTATTAGTTATTCTCTGGGGACAAATCCAGGTTGCGCAAACGTTAATTGTTAAAAATACGAGCCAGTCTTCGCTTTATACAATTATAATGGAGAAACTTTAACAGCATGTCCAGTAGATTCTTCATAAAATGATTCATTTCAAAGATATGTTGAAATATGTATTGCAAAAAAATCGTTATTTCCCCCTTTTAAAAAATCTGTCCTAGATTTTGATTACATGCTTGGCCGGCCACTAGATAATTTGGTCTTTGTTTAACCAGTGGCGTTCGCGAGAGCATTTGGTTAATGTAAATTTTCAAAAACTTTTTTTTATTATTTACCACCAATTTAAACCAAGCTTAAAAGCAAAATCCAGAAGAAATTTTTACAAAATAGGAAAAAACGTTTTTTTTTGCTGAATATTTTAACACCCTGTACCTCCGAAAATTTTATTTAGGCCACCACTGTATATGATGTGTTGTAGATGTAGAACTTTTAATAAATAAAAAAAAAATGATAAAATCCTGTGTTGCAAAGGGTACAGTACGAGCAAAATAAAGATACATATTGTGTAAATTTTCTTTCATAAATAAACAATAACTGGAGAGTTATCATCAGGTCTTATAGTCGGCTCTCAAAAAATTGTAAAAAAAATATTTAAATTAAAAAATGGTCACCAGAGGGCGTAATTGAAGATTAAAACGCGCTTTTGAAGCTGGGACAAATTCAATGCTTTTCTGTAAGATGCTTTTTACTCTATCTATCTCGATAATTGGCCGAAATAAATGTCGACAACTCCAAAATGGCTTGATGAATTTTAATAAACTTGGAGTATTTAAAAACAGCTTTTCTTAGGCTATCAAACTAGCTATGAGTGAGATGATTCCGATTGAGTACCCTATGTTGATTTCTAACATAACGGCAATTTAAAAAAAAAATGAATTAACGATATGAATTTTTTTAAGTCATTAACAACAACCCAATGAAAACTGCATCTCAATATATTTATCCTAAAATATGAGTTAAAGAATTTTGTATGTATTAATTATAGAAATAAACATAGCACCTTGACTATCTCTTACGCAAATGTTAAGCGTACTTACTGCCCTCTGGAGGTGTGTAGCAGCAGCGTTACCAGAGTCGAAGCACCTGGACACGTACAGTTGTTCGCTAGCAACGCGTATTTGAATTCGTCCTCGCACACCACGTACTCGGCGAACTTGACGTGCAGTTTGTTCTCTGGTCGAAATATTTGCACGTATTGGGCGACGCTAGGTGCGAAATCTTTGACCGCCCACGATCTCAGGATCGTGTGCTCGTCCTGCAAACCGGAAACATGTCATTTACGTAGACAAATAACATTTCGCCGTTCACATTCGGGTGGTTTTGACACATATACGGGCGTGACAATGAGTCTCTCGTCGCCGGGTCCGCCTTAACAATATCGGCGTTGCTTTTTTCCGGTCACATACGAACCATAACCTCACATTATTGTTGAACAAACAATATATGCCACCTTTCGAAAGGTTTTTGTCAGCAAAAATAATGATTAACTGTTCTCTTGGGTAAAAAAGTACATTTTAAGCATTGTAATATTATAATAAACTAATAATAATAATAATAATAATAATAGTAATAATAATAAAAATTGTAACTGCAGTGTAATAAGAAATGGGGCACAGAAGAAGAAAGACATTAAAAAGTTAAACTAGCAATAACAGTACTAGCATCTTGCTAGTGACAGAAAAACATATCTAAAATTTGGAAATACGAAATGTGCTAATGAAAATGCTAATGCCAATAATAATGCTAAGAAATGATGTTTTAGTCGAATTTCCATATTAAACCACAATATTTCAGGAAGTTTAGGCGATATATGACGTAAAAAGATAACTGAACTCTTTATATGCGTTCTTTTTTCATCAGACGTAGAAAATTTGAATATAAAGAAAATTTAATAACACAGAAACTTTGTTTCAATCTTCTCTTAAGAAAATGTTTACTAACGAACAGCTTCATAACAAGACTTAGGCATTTAAGGTGGCATGAAGGTTTAAGTATTTATGGTTCCACCAAAATTAATAAAACCGAAATTCAATCGAATTCGACCGAAATAAGTGGAATAGCAAATATTACGAGGGTAGTTCAATGAATCCTTAGAAAGTACACGAGATTGAAATCGTTATTAAAGTCATTTAATTCGAAAAATCGAATATTATCAACATAACCTGTAAAGCGTCCAACGATTCGGATCTATCTGTCTCTTAAAAGCTTAAGGTCAAGTTGTCCCGGGTCACTTCTATGTAAAATGGATATGAATATCCTGCAATATAATTTTGTAACAACCCTGTTTCGTACATTCCGGCATTATCATTATCTATGGTTGAAATCAATTTGTCGCCTATTGCATTATTTAGTCGGTTTAATTATAGTACGGAGCAACTTTCGGAATATTAAAAAATAGGTCAAACGGGAAAAAATTAATAGTAATGCGTTTCCCGTCCTCGTTAATTTTACATTTTAGTGGTCGCTATATAAAAATCACCATGAATGCGGTGGTGACCACTTACGGAAATGAAAAATAATTAAACTACGTTTTTTTTAATTAAAAAATTTTAATTAAGGGATGGTTGAAACGCGAACCGCGAAAAACCGAGAGAAGTGGGGGGCGGGTGCTTGATCAATATAGTATGGGGATCGTTCACTGATCTTGATAAGTCAATAAATTGTGTTTGATTTTCAATTTTATTGATAAACTATAGCACTGAATTATCTATTACCTAATCGGGGAAAAGTTGAGATTAAAATTCAATCTTTGTTCTAATTATTGAAAGGTATATTTGTACTCCTTATGTTTAGGGTCAAGTCGGTTAAAAACTGGTTTAAATTTGCCGTAATTTTTGAATATTTTCTTTAAGGTCGTGTGTCCATTTATTGGCGCCACAAGGAATTTCAATTTTAATGGAAAATTTGGAATTTTATGGTTTGGAGCCCATTGCTCTAGAGGTATTATCCCCTAACAAAAAGCAAGTAGTTTTTTGCAATAATAAATTTGTCAGATTTACGAAATGCAATGCACGGAGTTCCACAAGGTTCCATTATGAGGCCATTATTGTTTTGAGTTTATATTAACGATCTCTTTGGCCATATGGACTCTGTGACATTTAAAACATCAAACACAAATGTGGATATTCTTAAAGGAGAAACACAGTTGGCGAAAGAACGTGCCAATATGTGGTTTAGAGCGAATCGCCTAAAATTAAATCAGGATAAAACTCACTCGTTAGTCTTTTCAACAAATATAAATATTTCTTGGAAGGACCATATTGCTTATTTAGTAAAGCGCCTCTAAGTGTCAACTTTTTGTTAAGACGATTGAAAAATTTAATCGGAAAGGATTACGAGCTACTATGCTCTTTTTCATTCAATTTTATGATATGCTGTTATACTGTGGGGACACTCAATAGATGGTATGAAAATTTTTCCTATGCCATGTATAACACGGCATTAAAAATTCAAAACTCAAAAAATATGTTTTCAGTTTACTTAGAAAATCATGGATATTTGCTTCAAACTAGGAAGTTTAAACGCACTAAAAGCAAGAAAAATTCTCTTGACTTAAGATTACATAACTATTACATAAATTCCAAATCAAGTCACAAACTTGCTATTTAAAATTTTTAAAATAAAAATAATTTTTTTTTGGATCATTGTTTTTACCCTGTAGAGGAATTAAAACAGAAAATAAAAGATATTACCTGATTACTCGACTCTGGTTGTATTCCGTATCTTCCTTTTTTTCTTTTTTATTCCTGTTTGTTTTTATATATCCTGTGTCACGTTGTTCAACCTATTGTAGATTTTATCTAATCATATGTGTTTGAATGTATACGTATATAATTGTTAATATTTTTCTCTATTGTACTTAGACGTGCTGCAAACATACTATGTATTGTAATTCAGCCAAATAAAAATTTATCTATCTATCATGGATAACCGGCAATTTTCAGTTTCATTTTGCCGTTTGTCGAGAGTGTTGCAAAATTTTGTTTTTCGCTTTGACAGTGGTAGTAAAATGTGTTGAAATTTCTTTTTATCCTAAAGTAGGTATTGATATAAGAGTTTAATATATTTAAAATGTTATTTTCTTGTTTTGTAAATGATTCAAGGTTAAAGGAATCAGCGCCCAAAATATATCAACTCCTTTCACTAAATAATTGGTACTATGCTTTTATAAAGCGCCATCAAGGTGTGTTATCGGCAAAAAAAAAAACCTGAGCACCTGCAAAAATGCAGGAAAGATGCGAGGCAAATCATGCCAGTTACAATTCTATCACAGGATATATCAGAAAATTGTTCAAAATACGGCAGTGTAATCCTGAGCCAGAAAAGGTTGTAGTTCCAAGATTAAAAGCTCTTAGTTATGGCGAAATTTTGACGACAGAACAAGTGTTAAACAGATTAAAAGCAGCACAAGAAAAAAAATCACAGAAGACTACAATTCAGACTAAGAAAAACACAAATAAAATAGCAGTAAACAGAAGGCAGGGCTCTAAAAATAATGATTCTGGAATCAAAATGAAACTCCCATCCAAAAGTAAAAGCAGTGACGAAGAGGATAGTGAATAATGTTTATGTCTTAGTACCGACACTGAATTTTCTCCAGAAGAGGAAATGGGTAAAGATGAAAACCGGTTCTTTTGTTCTACATACTTTTAAAGGGTGAAAAAGAAACACTCCAATATTTAAATACATCTGCTTTGTGGAAAATATTATGGACAGTGAGGTGGAAGTCATTGGGCTACAAAGCATTGACGAAACTAAGCAGAATTTTGCTGTCAATGCTAATGACCTAAGTTTTGTTAAAAATGAGCAAATTTTTGGAATGTTACCTTTTTCAGAATTTCAAATCCTAGGAGAAAGTATTTATTAGAGAGCGCCTAGATAAAAATTTGTGTTATTTATCTTATTTCTGTTAACTAAATGTGTTTTTTACCACATTTGCTTAGAAAGTTGGTCCACCAAGCTTACTAAATTGTTTTTATTTTGTATGTATATTTAAGCGTTTCTAATAAAAATTTCTAAAATATTAATTCATACATGTATACCTTATTGGGGCTAATGTAAACATGTGCTGAAAAAAACTTTATTGTGGTTCAAATTACTACGAAACGTTTAAAATTGCCCTATATTTTATCTCCATAATTCCCCTAGTTTTTGATATAGATGTTTACAATTACCTCGAAATTGTTGGGGTGAATGTAAAAAATGAAATTTTTTTCAAAATATTTTTTTTATTAAAAAAAACTTATTTTTCGGTCAAAGTAAATAAAGCAGTCCAGTTATCATTTTTTTTGGCTTTCCCTTCAAAAATTATTGTTTTTATACAATTTTGATATATTTAAAAAGCAAAAAAAAATGAAATGTTCAAAATCGTTTACAATTATCCCACTTGACTCTATGGGTAGTCAAAACCCAACCCCAAGCTTGTTTACTGGCATGCAGGTATCTTGAGGAGCTATTTTAACTAGGAATTATGCCGGCACAATGCGCAAGCTATCTGGATATCTCATTTTCGGAATGCCGATATACTGGTGATGTCGACATACGAGGCGTTTTCAAAAAGGAAGGTGACTTAAATTAAGGTTGTTTCCTTTAAATTCCCCCTATATATAACACACTTTTGTCAACGTTTTTTCCAATTCTCGAACACTTCTTCTGGTAAGCACTTTCTTGCATTCTTGAGTTTTAGGAACAATAAAAAGTGGCAGGGGCCATACCCGGTAAAAACAGCTCCTGAGGGAAGCTCCTTTGTCGGCCCCTTTGTACAAAATTAAGCACTCTCGGAACAAATTTTGCTGTCACACGTTTCATATCCATAGAGATTCCGACGTCCTGAACCACTTCTCTAATAGCGATTCGACGATTTTTCAATACTATTTGTTTTACTTCTTCAAAGCTTTCATCAGTTATTGGACGTTCAGAGCGAGGCCACCTTGGAACAGCTTGTATCACTTAGAAACATTTGTTTTTTTCAAACTAGATTCATCATACGCCGTTTCAAGTGTTTTGCAGCACTGTATTCCATTTTTTTACACAAAATTTTATGCAAATTCCTTCTTCCATTCTTTTTTACACACAATAAAAAGTAATCGCCCAAACTGGCTGAAACTGTGAACATATGTTCACAATTATAAAAATTACAAAAGTCACCTGTTGTCCCTCGCAGTATTGTTTTGGCAGTTTTTTTAATCATAATTTATGAGAGACACAATTGAAGATCTTGCCGAGCTCACATCATGTTTTTAAATGCTTCGGAGT